TTCCACTAACATGTATCCCAGAAGTCAGCATTAATATTTAAAATTCAATTACCAGTGTGATTATGGAAAATACCCATATACTTCATGATGTAAGTTTTAGTATTCCCTTACTAAAACTTATATCATGAAGTATATGGGTAAAGTACTTGTATGCTTACGCTCGTTTGCTTCATCCGTTCGTTTGCTTATACATTTTTAGTATTCTTCATTTTTAGCAGTGGCGTAGCTAGCCCGCATGTTTTGGTCTCGCTATGTAAATTTTAGAATATTAACATTATATTAATTTCTTTAGAAATCAACTGTTTTTACAGTAAATGAACACAGAAAAATTTACATAGCAGAACCAAATTTGAGAGCAAGCAACGCCACTGTTGTTTATACAATTTTTGTTTGGTCGAAACAAGCGTTTGATAATGGTTGCAACCCCTTTTACTTTAAGCCAGTAGTTATCTCAAGGTGAACATGCTCAATTTCTCAGTTAGGTCCACGACCATGCAATTCTCTCGACCTAACAACATTCATACTCCTGATCTTGGCAAAACACCTCTAGAAAACCTAATTTTAAACCATTCTCAGATATCACATGCTATTAAAATTACTTATTACAATGCGCTTGCTTTTCCATAGTCTTATACAAATCTAAAAAGTCCTGACAAGTAAAAATATTAATGTTGATAGTTAACATATTCGAAACTTGCGAAATGCTCCTGTAATTAACTAAGAACGTTGACGACAAGTGTAAACTAAATTCATATACCGGAAGACTGGGATCACGATAAATAAACATTAAAACAAGGCTGTTCAAGTATAGATATTCTCGTATGGGACATGTATATACCAAATAAGTATTTCATTATTTTCAAAAAATATTTTTAGACCATATCATCCCTTAGTTTTCAAATTAGATTGGACACTTTGAAAATATGATTTCTGTATAATGAATGAAGGGGTGTGTGTGTGTGTGTGTGTGTGTGTGTCTGGGGGGGGGTTAATCGTCTCAAAGATTTTAAAATAACATGTTGAGTATGTTAAGTGTCGATTGCATCGTGTTTTATGTGTAAACGTTAAGTCAAGAAGTATTGTTATTATCTCTTGCAACAAAAATTCAACTGCAATTTAGATGAAGTTCTTCGCTAACACTCTTGGCACTCGCCCCTGAGAACATATTAGAATTATTCAAAGGGTGTATCCTAAAAAAAGTATATAAATAAATACCTAATGCTTACCTGTTTTGGTGGAGACAAAATTTTATCCAAATCAAGATGTAGATTTTTAAGGCATTTATTCAATAAATGTCGATCGAAGTTCGTTTGCTCATTGAAGATCTCCAAAATCATTTTAGACTTCGCGGAAGGATCTGGATATTTTACGTGATTTGAAGAAATTTTTTCCAATTCGAATAAAGGTCTTTCTAGAAGACAGCCCAGTCCATTCCATTCAGTTGCAACATTCTGACTAATTTTTTCGATTTCCTCAGGTGTAAGTTTAGTGTATCTATGATCATCTAAAGTGGAGAAACAAAAACATGAAACACCAATTTTGTTACACCACATGAGAAAAAAAATTTGGTGTCAGAATGGGAAAAGAAAAGGTGCAATTACCCACCGTTGCATAGAAACGTTTGGCCCATGGTTAATTTACACTAACCCAAGCCGTATGAATAGATAGTGTTTGTAAGAAAATTGCTAAAACTGAGCACTTTCCTAACTAAAGCTAAGACTTCGTCATTTATGACAAGCCAGTAGAGGTTCCCCTTGTCTTATTTAGTGTATTCATACACCTCCTATTTTTGGTTTTTCTCTACGCTTTTTACTGTGTACAAAACTGATAATTGACTTCACTCTGTCTACGAAGGCCCTGTTTATATAAGACCGGAACGAAGTGAAACCGGAATGAAAATCAGAATTTGTTGCATGTTTACATGGGACCGGCACGAAATCTCGAAAAATCCTCATTCGCTTAATGCCTCTTTGCAGGCTAATTTTACGCTTGCTAGCCATTTTTGCTTTTGTAATTTTCTTTTGTGCGCATGCGTTGATGCCATTTCAGACCGGTCTGAACATTAATTTGAGTTTACATTGATGCCAGTTTCAATTCATACCGTTCTGCACTCAGTCAGATCAGTTCAGCAGGCGGTTTGACTTAAGACTGCTCTGAGTCCTTTTCGGAACGGTCCCATATAAACATGTACTGTAAATAATATTATTAAATAAGACATAGTCTATTTCACGAAATAAGGATCTTGTAAAACATATATTGAGGAACAAATAACAGAAGCCTTTCTTTTACAAATGATAAACAACAATAACAGTCGGGTCCAGGCCCCTTATTAAATAACGATTATCCCATTATGCTCAATCCCCCCTAAGTCTTTTCCAGTTTTGGAAAGCGTAATATAAAGTTGTCCTTTGATATTTATTCATCGTCTCAATTTTCTAACAGCCCTTTCTTGTTGAAATCGAGTAATCTGCGTAGAGCTAGTGGTGCTTTTTGCTAGGCTGTGTGATCGCTGTTTTGGGTTCTTTGGCATCCTCAGGTATCTTGGTTGCGTTTGGTGAAGTTCCATCTGCGGTATCTATGTTCGGTAGTGGTGCTGGCTACGGGGTATCAGTCTGTGTCGTCGGTCCTAGATGTGGTAATGACGGTGTTGGCTTTCTGCTGGCTGGTGTCAGTTTGTTGGAAGTAAGGTTCTTGGTTGAGAATTTTGGTTGCAGCAGTAGGTCCGTATCAATAGTACATTTGGGTGACTGCTCTTGTAGAGGTGTAAATTGCCGGAGAAATTTTTTGTGTCTTAGTGTAATTCTGTTGGACCCGTCAACTTTGATGTGATATTGATCGCGTTGAAGGACTTCGATGACTGTTCCAGTCTTGTCCCATTGCGTGAGGTACGGTCCTGTTAGGTTCTGTATTCTTACGTAATGTCCAATGGACAGAGGTGGTAATCTTCTCGGGTGTTCTGACCAACGTTCCAGCCCCTCTCATTTGGTGGTTTTGTAAAGCCTCCTCACGAGCATCGAGTGTATTACTCCAGGTTGCGTGTGGCCTATAACAGCCGGGGAAAATTGGTATGAAATCCTTGATAGGTCTAACGATGACGCATTGGGCCGGTGATAATTTCTTATCGGTATGAGGCGTTTTACGATATTGTAGAACAGCAATTTGTAAGGCCGGAATTGTTTGTGATGAGGCGTTTCACAGTTTTAACCGCTACCTCGGTGGTGTACTCCCCATTGTTTGAGGAGCTGCCGTGTTGTGACGGCGGGGAATTCGGGTCCATCGTCAGTAGCGCATTCGTCTGGAATCCTAAAGGTGGTAAAGGCGCGTCGTAGGCAATTGATTAGTCCGTCGCAACCATCTTTGGCTCGTTCGATAATAGGCCAGTTAGAGTAACGGTCTACGTTTACGAGATATTTGGATCCTTTGTAGGGGAATAAGTCCGAACAGATGCACTGGAAGGGGTAGGCTGGTGAGAAGGTTGGTGTAGGTGGTGCGTTGTAATAGGATGATGCCATCCGGTTGCAGTGGTTGCATTGCGTACGTATTGCAGCGATATCTGATGTGATTCCCGGCCAGAAGACTGAGTCCTCTGTGCGGGATGTCATAGATGATATGCCCTGGTGTGTCGAGTGTAGCACTTCCAATGATATGCTCTGGGTGACACTTTACATTTATATGGAGAAATGGTTAGGGCTGTGACGGTTGTTTCACCCAACGGTCATTGATGTCGTTGTAGGTGTAGTGGTTGTACAGGATGCCGTTGCTGCGTAGCTGATGGCTGTTAGTCATGCACATGCTATGAAACATTGCGTTCTCCTCGTCTTGCTTGCGTTGTGTTTTGCGTACCGAAGTTTAACTTTGTCTTTGCTTCTGCACATGGAAGCGTTGTGCACGCCCTGGGTCATATTGTCATATTATTATTGGGTCATATTGTTTGCACGCCCTGGGTCATATTGTCTTGTTTGCCGCGGTGATATTGGCTTCTGGTATCATCAACGCCTTGGCTGTTGAAGAGGTGGGTGGCCGAACATCTGCCAGCTGCTTTGGCTTCTATGAACAGAAATGCCTCCTCCAGTGTCATATTTTGATTTTTATCACTGAGAAAGTCTAGTTGGATGTCGCTGTAGGCGATCCCAACGATTAATGTATCGCGGAGGATATTGTCTGCGTAGTTGATTTCTGTTGTTGAGTTCGGACAGTTAATCATAAATTTGCATATGCTGGCTTGTCTACGAAGACCTGCACCGAAGCTGTGAATGGTTTCGTCACGGTCTTGGCGCATGTTGTGTACGTACATACGGGCCACCATCGTGTTTTCCTCTCGTACAGCGAGTTCGCGGATTGCAGCCATGACGTCGACGAATGGTTAGTTTGTGAGGGTGCCGCCAGCGTTTCTGGTGACGTCCTTACGAAGCATTTCTTCACAGCATTTTTGTAGCTTTGACATAATCCTGCCAGCGTGTTGGGAAATACGTCCATTCCTCACTGGACCCGGCCGCAGATATGGTTGGCCTTTCCTACTTTTTCGGTCTTGGCCGTGGCGTTGATGCTCGTGGGTGTGTTTGTCGCTTAGTTGTTGTTGTGGACGATGGTCGAGTGCATTTGTAATAATACCGCCGCGAGTTGATCCTCAGCTTCCATTGTCTCGTACTCACAGTCTGGATAGGGGCATTTGTACCTCGGCATTTTTGTGCACGCGTAAAGTAATGTCCTGCTTCTGGTGAATGTGAAGTACTCGTAGTTATTCAGCGCCGCCGGGAAAATGGCGCCAAATATCTACCATCAATAAGATGGTGGTTTACACAATGATTTTTTCTTTATCTCAGAGTCAGGAGAGAGTGTTATTGATGCTTTATCGGTGCTGTTCGTTACTTTGGTTGTAGGGCTGCCCTTGGGTTGATAAATTTCGTTGATTTGCTCCTTCCCCTGGGCCAAATAGGTTCCGTGTTGTTGCCGCCAGCGTGTCGCGTTTCGAACTACTCACAGTGTGGGTTCCTCCGACCTTTTCGTGTGTATTTCGCTCGGCTGCTGTTTTACGTGGCTTTATTGTTGTTTATCATAAATAAGACATAGTCTATTTCACGAAAAAAGGATCATGTAAAACATATATTGAGGAACAAAGTACAGATGCCACTCGTTTACGAATGATAAACAATAATAACAGTCAGTTCCAGGACTCTTATTAATTAAAGATTATCGATTAAGCTCTAATTATGACCGACACAAGCTGGTACCGCGGTTTGACTTCGTTCCTGTCTCATGTATGTAGAGTTTTTATTAAGTGCCTCTTATCTAAATGTCCTCTATATATATATACATTATAAGCAGAAGTAATATTCAACAGGAAGTGACGTCTACACATCTTCCGTTTTTAATATAAAGAATAACTAATTAATAATAAATATTTAAACCTATAACTTTCAAAAGTTTTCTAAGTTCAATCTATTTGGGGGTTTAATAATTTTTCCTGAACGGGTTCGAATTACCTTCGATTCCTGTTCATTGTCCAAACTACTTGAAGATTCGTTCACTTCGTTCTTATCACTGAAACTCAGCTTTCTTTCGCTCAACTCACTGTTTTCCCTTAGATTTTCGGGATCAGGGATAAGATGTTTTCTATTTCTTCTTAAAACAGACTGCTCTGTCCTGACTATATATGATCTTGGTTTATCGGTTTTTCCCACAACCACAGCTGGTGATTTTATATCTTTTACCCAAACCTTTTCATCAGGACTCAAGTCTGGAAGGACTGAAGCTCTGTGACGACAATTAAAGTTTTCTGCTTGACGTCGTTTGTAACTTTCTTCGTCTCTTCTCAATTTTGCCGTATCAGCAAGCTTTTGAGTTAACTTTTCGGATATTACTGGTAGATTAGAACGTAATTTCCTCCCCATTAATAATTCTGCTGGTGAGTACCCGTTCTGCAATGGTGATGATCTGTATGCAAGTAAACCTGAATAAGGATCTTCGGATTTTATGATTAAGTTTTTTGCAGTTTTTACAGCTCTTTCTGCTTCTCCATTACTTTGAGGATAGCGAGGACTACTTGTTAAATGTGTAAATCCCCATTCTTCAGCAAATTTGGAAAAAATAGCTGCAGCATACTGTGGACCATTATCCGTCACAACTGTTTCTGGTATACCATGACGAGAAAATATGGATTTCATATGATTGATAACATCTTCTGCAGTTGTGCTTTTTTTCAAAGGAGCAATTTCAAAATATCTAGAATAATAATCTACTACAAGTACATAATTTTTTCCGCTATGTTCAAACAAGTCTGTAGCAACTTTCTGCCACGGTCGTTGAGGAAAACACGTTGTTAGTAACGGCTCTGCATGATTTTCTCTGTATTTACAACAAATGGAACAATCAGTAACCATGTTTTCAATGTGCTTACTTAGTCCAGGCCACCAAACAGATTCTCTTGCTCTTTCACGACACTTACGGATGCCTTGATGGCCAGCATGAATCTTTTCTAGGATATCTAAACGTAGCGATGATGGAATTATCAAGCGGGAGTCTTTCATTAACATTCCTTTCTGCATTTTAATTGTTGCTCTTTCAAAGTAATAAGGTAACAAGGTACTAGTAATTCGATTTCGGTCCGGCCAACCTTCCGAACAAAATTCCACAAGTTTCGTACAAACCGGATCTTCTTGTTGGTGTCGGCGAATTTCTTCTAGCCTTCTCTCACTAGCTGGTATGTTTTGAACAATCTGTGCAACATAAATGTTCAAATCTTCGGATAAATTGTTATCAGATTTTGTAGGTTGTTTCATATTAGGAGCTCGAGACAATGCATCCGCTACAACCAACTCTTTTCCTGGTATGTGACGAATAGTAAACGAATATTTCATCAGCCTCATCTTGAATCTCTGTATTCTTGGAGGAAGTTGGTCTAATATCTTCGAGCCAAGCAGAGGAACCAAGGGTTTATGATCAGTTTCTATCACAAAATCCATTCCTAAAAGATAATCATTAAATTTCTCACAAGCCCAAGTTGTTGCCAATGCTTCCTTTTCAATCTGAGCATATCGTTCTTCGGTAGTTGTCATTGATCTTGACGCATAAGCAACTGGTTTCTTTTCTCCTTTCTTATTTAATTGCCAAAGAACTGCTCCGATACCATACGACGATGCGTCGGCTGCCAAGACAGTTCGCTTCGTTGGGTCATAATAGGCTAGAACTGGTACAGAACTTAATTCAGTTTTCATCTCTTCAAAAGCTTTTTGTTGAGCACCTCCCCACTGAAATTCATTCTTTGTACTCAATAGATCTCTAATAGGGTTTGTTTTTCAGACAAATTTGGAATGAATTTTCCCAATTGATTAACCATTCCCAAAAATCTTCGCACATCACTCACATTTTGTGGTACTTCCATACCTTGTACTGCTTCAATCTTTTCTGGGTCTACTTGAATTCCATCTTCACTCACTATATTACCTGCAAACTTTACCATCTTCTTAGCAAACTCACACTTCTCAGGATTTAGTGTTACTCCAGCATTGTCAAATTTTTTCAGCACAGCTTTCAGTCTACTGTCGTGTTCATTTTTTGTCTTTCCATGAATAAGTACGTCGTCAATTATGCTTACTTGACCATCTTGTTTCTCCAGCAGCTGTTTCATCCTTTTCTGAAAATGCTCAGGTGCAGATTTAATACCGAAAGGCATTCTGTTGAAACAGAATCTTCCGAACGGAGTAATAAATGTAGTTAACAAACGAGAGTTTTGTTCTAGTTTTTCTTGCCAGAAACCAGAGTTACAATCTAGCTTCGAAAAATATTTTGATCCTCTTATTTCTGCCAAAAGACTTTCTCATCTTCGGAAGTGGATAAATTTCTCGCAGGACCCACTCATTTAACTTTGTGAAATCAACACAGATCCTTATTTTACCATCTGCTTTTGGAACAACAACCATACCAGCGCACCAATCGGTAGGAATATTAACCTTTGAAATAACGCCAAGTTTTTCCATGCGCGTCAATTCATCATGAACTTTCTTTGTCATCGTTAAAGGTATTCTTCTAGGTTTGGTTAACGCAAATGGGATAGCACCAGGTTTTAATTTGATGTTGTATTCTCCGTCTAATTCACCCAGACCTTTAAACAAGTTTGGATAAGGAGCCTTTATTTCTTCTTCCATATCACTTGCAGCATTTGACTGAATCGCTTCGACTGTCGCTATTAGATCAAGGGCATTGATAGCTGGACGTCCCAACAATGGCTCTTTCAACTTTTTCACAATATAAATATCTTGCTCTGTTGTTTTTGAAGTAGCAGTTCTCAATGTTGCTCGAATTTTTCCCTTTACTGACAGCTTTGCTTGATTTGGCCCGAACAATTCTTTATTAGTTGATTGCATCCGAGTTATGCCTGTTTGCATAAACCCCGATTCTGGAATCACCGTCACATCAGCGCCCGTATCAATCTTAAATTTCACTGTAGACTTTCCTAATAATAAGTCGATTGCCCATTTTCGCTCATTTTCTATATCGCTAATTGTCCCAAGAAAAAAATCTCCTGGGGAATCCGTGCTATTGTCATCAACTGATTGAATTTTTGCGCTTGAGTTACTTCTGCATACCGCTGCAAAATGCCCTTGTTTATTACACTTTAAACAAGTTTTATTGTTCGCTGGACAATCCTCTCTTTTGTGAATTGTTGATCTTCCACATCGAGAACATTGACGGTTTTTCTTTCTCGAATGTTGATCGGGACTCCTATTCTGATTCCATTTTAACTTCGATTTTTGTGTCGTATCATTACCGTTCGTTGATTTGTTCTTACGCGACCAATCAGCCCATTTTCGCTGTCTCCTTTTAGAACATCGTGATGGTGCTTGACAAGCTCCGATGATTTTACTCCCTAATAGCTTTCTCCAATGTTAATTTATCATCTTGCATTAGCCTTTGTGAAAGGTTTGCATTTTGTATACCGACGACAATTCTGTCTCGTATCAACTCGTCTTTTAGTGTTCCAAATTGGCAAGTTTCTGCCAGTTTGTACAAATCTTCTACAAAGTCGATGACTGATTCTTTTTCACCCTGTATTCGTTTATTGAACCGAGCACGCTCGAAAATTGTGTTCGATCGACCAACAAAGTGCGATGCAAATTGTTCTACAACATTTCCGTACACCATATCTCTTTCGCTTATTTGAAAGCTTTTTAAAAGATCATTGGTATTGCCTCCCATAGCATACACCAAAGTATTGATTTGTACTTTATCATCTTTTCGTCTAAGCCAGCTGCGATGCGATAACATTCGAATCGTTCAATCCATCGCTTCCAATCTTCGGGCTTTTCGATTCTAATTTTTCTGGCAATGGAATTTGTGTTTGAAATGCCATTTCTTATTTATCTCCACGTCTCTTGTCCACTGGTTTTACCATTTTAGACAGAATCCTATCGCTGCCACCATGTAGAGTTTTTATTAAGTGCCTCTTATCTAAATGTCCTCTATATATATACATTATAAGCGGAGTAATATTCAACAGGAAGTGACGTCTACACAATGTACACAATGCCATACTCTACTCTATGTCTACCTCTTATTCTTGAAACGTGGTCTTCTTGTGTCTTTTGCATCCTCATACATACATGCATTCTGTAATATTATTCATTCCTTATTTCTATGGACAAATGTCAACAACATAAAGACAATCTTGCTGCAAATTACAAGGAAGTGCTGCTTAGAAAACACGAGTAATATTTTGCATATCACGTGGTACCTAGAATCTGTGAACATTGCGTACATAGTCACAGCCACAGTGTGGTGGATATACAGTAGAGCCACTCCATTGATTTTTGTGCAACGCATATCTTATTACGCATGTGATTACCATAGTGGCAGCCAGTCAATTGCTTTTTTTCACTAATAGGAATGATAAAATGGGTAACAGCAGCCAACAATCTAATTAAATATACAGCAGCAAGTTGCACACGATATGGACCTACTGTTTTTCCTATACTGTTTACAGCTCTATCATATATTTTCATACGGCAATGGCTGTTTTGACTGCAGATATTTTCGAGTATTGATGTGTTCTTAGGGCAGTTTCATCACAAAACTATCTTTTTAAGTCGCTTAGAAATAACAGTCAATACGTAAATGATGAAAGTTGCTTCTAATTAAAGATCTTGGGGTCACATAAAAAGAATTGGGTTAGCTATGGCGTAGCTAATTTAAACATTCAATTAGATATAAAGTTGAATATGGTGCAAAATTTCACTTTCATTGTGCACGAACCTTTAAAAAATATAATTTATTACCAGTTTTATTATTTTTCATTAATTTTGTATAGCGAGAATCGTTGTTGAGAAATACACAAAGCCCAAAACGTTTCTACGATCGTTTCTATCCAAACTATTCAGTATTCACATTTTCGAAATTAGATTATGATACTATATAAGTAACAGAACCACTGCCACTTAGAACAAAATTAAAAAAGATATTTGTATCATAGAATTGCCAAAAGAGTACTCGAAATTTTTCAAGATACAACAGTCAACGCTGTATAAGAATATATGATAGAGCTGTGACAATGTACGCAATGTTTACAGTTTGTACCACGTGACATGCGAAAATATAAGGGCGAAAGTGGTGGATTCCAATCAAACACAAAAAAAACATGTAATATAGATTGTAAAAATACACTTTGAGGTATTTCTCGATTGTAATTAGTCGATTGCAGTGCAGTTTATCTGCAATCATAAAATAACAGATACGACTTTTGGAATTGGAATTGTAATAAATACTACACATCGATCAATTTGTGAATAAGCTAAGATGACACATGAAAGAATGTTATATGCAGTGCGGTGTTTGAAATTAAATGAAGATATGATCTTCGTACTTTGCTGGACAATTTAAGCAATTTTCTCATAAACCTGAAAAATTCAGGTGATTCAAATTCAAATTAATTTCAAATTAATTTCAAACACCGCACTGCATATAACATTCTTTCATATGACATTCCTTTCACGGGAAAACATCAGCGCAACAAATTGACCTGCTCTCCACTGTGTGACTTCATAGCTCAGTTGGTTAGAGCACTGTACCGGCATCGCAGAGGTCATGGGCTCGAATCCCGTTGAATTTTTTTAGGGTTATGAGACAATTGCTTAAATTGTCCAGCAAAGTGCGAAGATCATATCTTCATTTAACTAAGATGACACAGTGAAAATTGTAGTTTTGTAGATCAAATTTCGGAGCATAGTCGAGACCAAGTAATTGTTAAGTGTCAGTCTTCTGAATTAAGAATAAAGTTGCTCGTAAAGAGTTAGATTCAAAACTAGAGGATGTAAAACAAATTGCTAGATGCAATGGAAGCTACCGCCTTTCAGGATAAAACCATTTAAAATTTAAAACCATTTAAAACCATTTAAAATTATATCACATTCCCAGTCAATGTAAACAATTTTTTCTACGTACCTTCCTATACTGTATCATAATATTTCGTAACACTAATCATTTCGTACTGAAGATGGCATTTTGTTAATGTAGAAACATGTTTGCTTATAAAAAATCATCGTGTTTTTAAATGTTTTTTAAACTTGCTGCTACTCAGAAACTATTGTTAAAGGTTCATACTTATTCCATTGCATACATTTAATACAAAAATAGTTTAAATTCGATATTTCATTATTGACATTATTGTCTGTCCTCTGTTGTGTTGTATGTTAATTGCTCCACGTCATTTCAAATTTGAAAACTATGCGTAAAATGTATATAATATGAAACGAAATTTTTTCTACTTTGGTAACATTGCTTCTTAACAAGCAACAAATACTTTATTTCTCAAATCGTGCATTTTTTATAGTCCGAATGTTTAAAAGCCATTCGTCATATTGCCATATCTATTTCTCATAAAAATGCAGAATATATGACTTCCACTCACACAAGCGTAAAATTTCAACAGTAAATGATTACATGTTTCTTATTCTGTTGCTTTGCAATAAATCATCTCGTGAAAAAACGAAACAATACATCAAAGCATAAACGTTCCACTTGTCCTCTTTTAGTGGATTTCCTTTGTTTTTCTTTGTACACATCACTTACTGACACCTCCCTCTGCCCTCTACTAACATACTCTACTTTACCTTCACCTATGCATCTGTATGTTGTGTCATAGCACTTAAACACTCATCGCTTTGCTTATTTTGAATAGTTTACCCGAGTTTACATTCAAATACTTATGATTACCATGGTGGCTACCATAGTGGCAGCCAGTCAATTGTTTTTTTTAACCAATAGGAATGATAAAATGGCTAACAGCAGCCAATAATCTTACCACTTAAACACTCGTAATTTTGCTTATGTTAAATAGTTTACCCCAGGTTTGCATTCAGTTACTTATGATTTGTGGGTAACAAGGCATGAGTTCTACTTGCCGTCAATATTAGGGTTGTGACGCTCTTCACAGGCTTCACTTGTTCCTTCATAAAGTCTTGCAGGAGACGCTTCCATTTCATGCAAGATCTGTCAAATAAAAAATGGTAAATAAAGCAACATAAATATTAAAATATCACTTGTCAAGCGTCAAAGACCTTGAGAAAATTTTTGCGACTTATACATGATAGTAAAAATCTGTTTCACGTCAATCAGATTTAATGATTTGTTATATAAAAATGAGCATGCACCACTCTTATTGACCTTTAAAATCACGTTTTTTACCGTCGCTATAGTCTTTTTCGTCACTGTTTATCCACAGTTTCAACTGCAATTCTTTGAAGGACATAAAGTCAGTACATTTATGGGATGAGTTAAATAAAAACAACTAAATGCATAAGAGTTGCTCCGATTTCCCTATTGTACAATGAATTTCGATAGTAAATGTGCATTTTGGACGAAAAGGAGAGTAACAAAAATTAATGAATTATAATTTTGCTTATTTATCCAAACATATCTGATACAATTAGAGGCAAACTGACCTGAAGTTAATCATAAGTTGTGCTTATTGTGAGCTGTGTATAAAACCTTGTACTTATATGATTTCAGCACATTAAAGTTAAAGTTTTGAGAAAATATTTCTATTGCCTAAATTATTTTTTATTTTATAGCGAAAATTAAGTAGGTGCCATTGGTGTAAGTCCAGTTCAGAAATAAAATGTCATTGTTAAATGTCAAAGAAGCCGTCATTTGATTTTACTATAAAAGTGCATAAAATATTTTACATAATGTTATCAACACCTAAATATTCATCATAATGTAATCAACGATTTATTTTTAACAATGGTGTCGATACACAAAAAATAGGAGCGCAGTGCTTAGATGTTAGCGGCCTGTCAAGTAAATGGACACAAAATGAAGTAGTTTCACAACCATAGTTCAAATAATAACGCCTACTAAATATTATTAATATCAAACATTTTTGAGATTTAAAAATGTGTTTTGTGCTCAATCTTTTACATCCCAATGATTTATACATAAACTTCTAGTCAATGTAGAAGAGATAAATTGGTCAGAAACCTATGCATCATTATGGCACATACAATAACTTTGAAGAAGATGACTGACAAGCAAGCGCAGTTTGTTAAATTCATTTATGGTCCAAAAACTACATAAATCTTTAAAAATACGTACACAATAAAACCAGTTATTTAGTTGAACAACAGTAAAATTCGTTTCCGAAATTTTCTTTGCAGACGTTCGCTGGGAAATGACGTTTACAAAAATCATTAAAAATTTAGGCGAATCGGGAAAAGTAAAACTTTTTTATTTTCCTTAAACGCCTTCTTTACTAAATTGATTTTTTCTTGATAAATTTAAACCTCTTACAACGTTAAAGTGTAAGTTTATTAGAAATAGCTATAATGCTAAAATCACGATTTCCGTGAAAACGAGGCTGAAGGCCCCAAAACTTGCCCATATAACATCAATTTTTGAAATCAATGCCTCAATATTGACCTATTTTAGTTCAATGGACTTTACGGCCATTATAAATTATTTACATTCCTTTTTCCAAAGAAATGCATTTAAAAAAAAAATGCCCTTTTTCCTGTTGCACAACCTTTTCCATACCCTTTTCAATACTCCCTTTTTCGCACTTAGTTCATTATATATATTGCCTGCTGTTTGTACTTTTAAGTATATAACGAAACTATGGAGCGTGAATCTTGGCTTTGCTTTTAATTACAATACTGTAAAACATCGCAAAGTTAGACAAAGGTTACACCAAGTGAGCTATGTCTCGGAAGAAGAGCGAGAACAAGATTGAACGTGTGAAGATCTTCTCTGGCAGAATGGGTGATGGAAAGATTGATAAAGAAAAAAGACTTGGCAGTTCAAGATAGGCGATATTATTATGGTTTTAGGTTACAGAAAAAATACAAACAAACCATCGTAGATTTGAGGAGTTGCATATGAAAAATTAAGATCAGTTACTAACACAGTAGAATTTGGCAGTATTCAGTGGAAACGACATGACATGTTGATCAATTGGCTAAATATAATAATACTATTATAATCATACAACATAATTTACATCTACAAACATCTATACCTTTAACATCCCCTTTACATATTAAATTCGTTTGAACATTAAACATATGGACAAAATCAAAAAGGGTACTGCACAAACAAAGTCGCTGAGTAAAGTGATATATCAAACATTAAGAACTAAAGTATGGTTGCCTAAACTATATACAGGAATACACCTTTAGTTTTAAGGAGAGTACACAAGTCAGTCAGAATGGTAATAATCAAGAAATTAAATACTACAGACTTATTGCTTAACTGCTTTCAGTAGAATGTGAACCTCGTGACTTGAACATGTTTATCATCACATGATCAAATTATGATCTAGCCTGCAAATGCATAGCCAAATATATGACCTATCGGTAGACAAACATTCATAGCTTAATCTACAAATAATAGCATAAATATTCATAAATATAATTTAATTCATATTTACACAGTGTGAGTCTTATTATTGTCGTAAAGAGTGTGGTTTTCCACATTTACTTATTACTGTACTGGTCAAACTTCAGCATGGGTGGCATAAATAATACACAACAGCTGTATAGAGATTGTTTAAACATACTAAATGATATCTTGCAAATGCAGATTGAGCAGTCACATAAATTTTATATACAATTTACTAACTTGCCTAAAATGCTAAACACAACAATTCTTAGTGACTATCATGATTCATTCATTTGACTTACCGCTTAAGTTAGGCAAAAGTAGGCCAATGAACACAAACAATTTATAAAACACATTGAATAAGTAAGCCTCAGATGATGCCAATTGTGCAAAATTTGGTTCTAGGTCAGGCAAAATGAATATATACCTGTCAAATAGCTGGATCGTCAGGTGAAGTTAAGCAAAAGTTGGCTTGTCTCTGCCTATCAACAGCAGAGCTATTACTAAATTGATTACTAACTGGTCTGCAAACCACATAACAATTAACTTACAAGCTTTTCTTCTAGTATCTTTATAGTATAAAAGCTAACAGAGATCAACTTAGGAATTTCACTATTGGCAAGTGCCTTAGTTGCCTACCCCTTGATCCAGCCATATTTTCGATATTAATAAAGTAAACAAAAATTGAGTTGGAAGTTAACTATAAAAGTATGCTCGAAATGAGGTCATTTAAATAAGAGAAATGTTCCAATTTGGCTTGTAAACATATTAAATAGGACCCAAAACTAGTTTATAATGATTCACTATGTTTTGTCAAACAACTTAACATGTAAAATTTCGATCAATGAGTCATCACAGAACTACATCGACATGGTCGCACAAATTGCGATTGTATTTGTTTACATAAACGTCCACAGCAAGCGATAAAAATTATTTTGGAGAATATTAAGGCTTTAAGCTATCTAGTCGTGCAATTTGTCGTACAATTACTAGGTATAACCAAAGTATGTGGTAATATATTTAATCAGACCTGCCAATTCTCCCGGTTTCGCCGGGAGACTCCCGCTTTTGCTGCGTTTTTGACCTCCCGACAAGATACTAAATCGGGTTTTTAAGGTTAGGCTTTTAAAGTTTGTTGGCATTTTTATTCATCGCATGGAAAGAAATACTCGATGAATAGCATTCAAAACATAACGTGTAGCCGCAGTTAAGGAACTGGGCATGACATTGATTTTCGTTTTTCGTAAAATTATGTAACACAATATGGCTGCCAGTTAAAATTTTGTGCATAACACTTCAGGTAATCATTGCCATTTGCCTAATAAATCAATCTAAAAATATGTCGCATACAAAATAGAAATCTCCAGCTATTTTGCCAGATCTCCCGGTTTTTCTGCATTAATCTCAAGGTTTTGTATTCCTTGGGGTTGGTAGGTCTGTTTAATATTTGCGAATAAGCTAACACTTCCGGAATCTTTGAATTTTAGGCAAGTCGCCGACGCCAAACATTTATTACATTTATACTTTCTAGTCTGTAATAATACATCCAGATTAATTATATACAATCAAATAAATATAATTGAAATGCGACTTACATTGCAAACAATTTGTTGTAAACACTACACTGCGCTGTTGTTATAAAATGTTTCAAAAATAGTTCTGACATGTGCCTTGCTCTTTTCATGATAAAACCATTTAAAATCGTGGCCAGAGACTTGACAGGCGGAAGCGAATTTTCAATATTAATTAATTGATTATTAATCTGAGATGTCTTAAGTTACAGACAAAACGTTATTAATAAATCCTTCTCTATTTTATTATTGTGATGGCTTTTTTAAAAGTATTATGTTGGGCTATTATTTTCATATTGGAAAAACCATTTAAGTAAACTTACCCTAGTAAATGTTGTCAAAATTCAAGTTTTATGACTAAATCACAGAACTTGCACATTCAAATTGACGACGAGAAGATCAACACAACGCTAATTCTATCCAGAGCCCTCTCTGTGTAAGAGTTGGGACCGCAGAGTTGGTGTTTTATGAGTTCTGTGGTTGGGACACGTATTGTTCTTTGCATTCTGCATGATGATTGGGTAAATAGGGTCACGTGGGTCTCTCGCCTCCATTTTTGTTCCGAGAGCGCAATAGAAAACTATAGTTTACAAAGAGTTAAATTACAAAAAGTTCGGTTTTATGTTGTGCGTTTATTTTGCCAATTGAAGCAACGAAGGATATAAAACGTACGCCCTGGTGGCAAGCACAGTAGCGAAGTGGCTCTGTGCAATTAAGAGGAAAGATTTCAATCCACTTACTCTACCAGATTGTATTCCAGTCGCGTATGTCAAAGTATTTTTCATTGAATTTAGATTTTTTTTAGATATTTATGTTAAATATTGGTTTATCTATGCGTACAATCCACGTAGAATGCATATAGACCTTTTAGCTTCTCAGGAATGCCATATGTATTTTGTTCTGTTGTTACATTTTGAAAATAAAATTGAATTTTGTTTACTGCAATGATTGATTACTTTTTTAAATTTTATTTGTACTAAATAAGTTATTACATGCATGTAAAGAATACAAGGTCATCCTAAAGGGACACTATATATATTCTCTATGTTAACTCTTTACTGCAGTTTGCACACATAGAATTTCATAGTGAAGTACAGTGAGATGATTTCTATTATGTCAGATGAAAGCAGGTGTTATCTTACTTCTTCATTAAAACTTTTTCGTGATATTAAGATCAAGCATATCAATATCATAAAACAGGCATATGAACAATCTGAAAGATAAGAATGTCACAAGGGATGTGTGAGGTGGTACACAGGCAGTTTTATGGGAGTATGGTGTATCTTCCAAACTTGTTTCCAATGAAGTGCTAGGCGGGAAACGGATTCTCAATATAAATATTAGAGCCCAACGAATAATTTTAAACAAATTCATAAGCAATTTGGTTTTATGAAATTTATTAAAAGAGTGACGTCTCGTCTTTACTCAAGACATCTTCAGACTAATTAGGAAGTTAACAAGAATATAGATATATATAGAGCTATTTACATAGTTTGAGGTATCATATTACTGTGAATGTGTAGGTGTGTTGTCATGTAAGTATGATGTAAGTGTGATTTATTGTTAGGGTGAGGAGTTGAGACTAGAAAAGCTTAAGAGGGATGGAGCTGCCTTGGGTGTTAAGTGAAGGTTTTAGTTTGGAGATGAGGAGGCGTTGTGTATCATGAGGTCAAATGTGTCGGAGCAGGATGAGATGATTTTAAAATTGTCTGGCGAAGCAGGGTGATTGGAGGAGTTACTATGAGAAAGAATACTTGACATTAATGTGTTAGTGTAGCGTTTTCCAGTCAAAGGAAAACTAACAAAACTTACCCTGACCTCAATGTTCAAGTTTTTAAATTCAATACAATATTTAGTTTATAATACGCTCGGACGCTCCTCATTAATTTATCTTATTTCCTTTTTATTGTTGTAATTTATGTATCATATTACTTTTATATAAACCTTGTATCACCTATTATTTCACTCATACTGAAGATGGCATCATGAGATGTCGAAACATGTCTATTTTCAAAAAAGTTGTCGTTTATATTAAATGTGTATTGGCAATAGTGCTTTTACGAAATTATGGTAAATGATAATTGACCTTACCTGAGATTAAGTGTAACTGTAAATACAACGTATAAATCATCATTAGTCAAATGATGGAGACAGCAATGGCTCTCACATAATGATTTTTAAGAAAATAGTTTTCTTTGGACATTTATCTTATACCAGTATGCTTTTGTGTATAATGTAATCATTAAATAGTAATTTTTGATTGCTCTTCGGAATTCTAATTTTTTACCATTCTTAGAAATTGTAATTTTTGATTGTTCTTAGAAATCATATGTTAAGGATATTTTACAGAAAAGCAAAAGTTGGGAAAATTGTATATTGGGCGGTTCATATTCATATATGCATGATTTATTGTCTTGAATTCTTTTGAAATTCATTGTTTTTAACGAATTATATGACATGAATATGTGAAAATCATACGCACCTTTTGATTATCAATCTCTCTAAGCCCAAGTCTTTAGATGTATCATAATAAAATAATGAGAGTTTTACCCATAAATTTGCTTTGATGTAACCCTTTGTTGCATATTGTTTCCAATTGTAAACTTTATACCTCCCTGCATGCATTATAACCGTAAAAGGAGTAAATTATTTACAATTTGTTCAGGTCTAGTTGTGTTTGCGTTTATTGTGTAGATAGCTAACTTGTGCTAAGGGTATTTTCATCGTCTAAGATTGTCAAACACAAAGTGACTGTTGGAATTTTCAGTTAGTATTTTGTAGGTGTTTGTAAATGGGAGAGTATTTTTCGAGGGTTGTGGTAGCTGTAGCAGGCTAAAAATGGTAAAAACACAGGCTAAAAACTTGTGTTCTACACTATACTAATTACAGGAACTAGCTTTATGATAAATTGGACAGTATATTTATGCTATGTTACAAGTGAAAATTCAGTGCAGTATTATAAACATACTTTGAGGCATTCGATCTTGCCGAATACGAATGGTTTATCCCACCTGCATGCACCCCATCTTTAATCTTACTTCCCCAAACTCATGCGTGAGAAACATGAAATCCTACAAAAAACAGCTTTAGTTTAAATTGAAACGCTCAGCTCAGCAGGTGTCAAATAAAACCAAGCGTTGACAAAAGATTAAAAAATACAGTCACCAAAGTGAACGAACGATGTGAAATAAGACATAAATATACAGAAAGAGAAAAAAGATTAAATTCGCAATCCTTAATTAGTCTTAGTAAACGGAAAAAAGTTTTGCTGTTCATGCTTATTTTTACAGAAGGAACGTTAATACATAATCAACTTACTAGTGATTTTTTCATTGACATTTTCAAATGTTGAACTGTATATGCGCCAAATGCATTAAAGACAAAAGAAAATGAGATAAAATTTCTCTAAAAGACTGCAAAAACCATAATTTGTATACGTACAAGATCATACATTAGTATTGCAATGACTTACATGCTAGCATTGGAGTCAAAAGAATGGAATACAATACTTCATTGGTATTCTCCATTTCTCAAAGTAAGTATTTTTCACGTTATTAATTTTTGTCATTAATTTTGCCGGCAGTATATTGTAAGCTGACATTATCTTTTATTATCTTATTGTATAGAAATTCTTATCAAGAATAAATAATATACTTGAATAAAGTCCTCGGACAAATGATCAAGAATGGACAATACTTGAATAAAGTCCTCCGAACAATTAACAAGAATGGGCAATCAAGTCCTCAGAACAATGATCAAGGATGGGACAGTATATACTTTAATGACTTTAGAAAACACGAGACTTCTTTTGTCCATCAATCCGTCTACATCACATACTACAATCGCAATTAGAACATGTTGCTCTCAAGTAATGCTTCCATCAGCTCAACTTTTATGTCCATAAACAAGTCCCTGTCCTATTGGAATATGACCGAGGTTACTAGACTATTGGACTATGGCAGTTCAAAACGTTACTATCCTGGGTATTATATCTAAGATACGATTCCAACTGGTTAATCCGGCAGTCCTAAAGACATGCGAACTATATACGACGATATATCAATAATATCATGGTAAGAATAATTATCTTAAACTATTTACAACAGCAAAAAACCCGCAAATCCTCAAAGTCCCTATCAATAGTTTTTCTTGCTTTGCAGATGATTAAAACCACGTCACAATCGACCAGCCAAATTTCTACATTAATTAATTAGAAAATTTTCCTAATAAAAACATGGAATTTTTTCAGCATGCAAAACAAAACCAAAAGTCCTAATTTTCTGACCATCTGTCGATGTTTCCGCTTTCATGCCGTAGACGACATGCACAGTTGTAAGAAATGGCCAATCTTGCTTCGGGGATGTTTGTCAGGTAGCAAGAAAGTTGGATACGATGGATGTACCATCAACGACAAAAATTGTTTTTGGATTCTGAATGATTTCACGTGCTCAGCATCCGTTGACTTCAGGGTAATAAAGGAAAGAAAGATTCATCGTCCTTTCCTTAAACTTGGCAACGAATTTCTCGAAAACCGTGAGTTTACATTATGCTTTGTACGTAGTTTAGCCTGCTAACAGTCCATGTCTTTTACAGAAAGCAAAAAGCCACAACAAATCCTGGTGCGCAGTATATTCCACTATAGGGCTATTTTTTTCAGTGCAGGTATAAAATTAAATACACATTTTCATAGTAGTGTTTTCCCTGCATTTAAAAAATAGCCTTCATTAAGAGGTTTTTAAAAGTTTTCAGTTCAACTCGAAAAATTATTTGTGTTCGGTGCCCATTAGTAAAATTTGTGTCTTAATTAGGAAACGTGAAGTTGCATCAGCGGTTATTAGCCTGTTATTGACATGCATTTGTGTCGGTTACTCGATTTATCTTCGTTAACCTTTTGTGAATATACGGCATTAAGAAGCTACGCATGCTTTAGGTTTACAGCATAAGCAACTCCCAAAGCCCATAATATTCAAGACCAGACTTTCAAGCTGCGTGTTATATCGGATTCACTCTTCGTTTGCTGTAAGTAAAGACTTCATTTGTTTTTTTAATTGCCTTTGTTCAGTCTCTTCAGATAATTAATGTTTATTAAATTCAGAGCTTAAGTCTATTTAATTGTGCTTTTGGCATTGGCCATTATCACTGCCTTTGATACTTTAATAAACGGGACCTTGATAATATTGTAATTCCAGAAATACAATTTACTATCGCATAAGAGTTTTATTATGTATTTTATAAAGTTGACTTTAAATGTCATACGTCTTCAACAAAAGCAATTGAGAATAAAATTTAAATAATCAGATATTATATCATTCAATAATGTAAGCTAGATGCAGAAATGTGATTATGCATCATCCAAATACGTCGTGAAAAGTGTTTTGCTACTTTACATCTAAAAAATAAATCCTTTAACTACCGTATCGTTGATTTCTTATTTGTTTTCCCGACAGTAAACTTTTCATTGTGGTTCGCTTTCATTAAAAACTGAAAAAGTTTTTAAGTTCTGGAATGCTTTTTAATTCGCCATTTGACCAGACAGCCGCACGTACCCGAACTGGGATTTCAAAAAGTCTTTAGGATCATCGACTTTATAAAATGGATGGTTTTAGTGCTGGTCGCAATCAATCGATCTGTCAATGAAAGCCAACAATCAAAATAATCATATACGTAAAATTTATTTGTCTTTTCCAATCTGAGTAAATTTTATTTTACACGGTATATTTCATGTTCACTTGCCTTTTCACAAACTTTTTACTGTTTAAAAACTGTTTATTTTTGATGTGGTTTCCTTTCACTGAAATTGAAAAAGTTCTTGAGATCTGGATTGTTTTTCAATTCTTCATCGGACCTCACAGTAGCATGCACTCGAACAGGGAGATTGGGGAATTTTTGAGAATATACGCCTTGTGATCGCCAATCTTATAAAATGGTTCTGGTTGAGGTTTTAGCCGTGGTCGATCGTTCCAATGTTGGTTAATATTTCGAATAAGTCTTAAACATTCTGTCCATGAAGAGTCATATGTAAAAATCTTTCCAGTCACCACATCCGTTCTAAAATAATCATAAACATCACTGTCTATTTTACTTTTCCAATCTGAGGATTCACTATTCAATTGTTGAACGACACTACACAGAGGATCATTTGTCTTAATCTGCTGAAGATTTCCAACTTTACATAATAAGTCAAATTTCTCGTCATCTGACATAAGAAATGGATGTTTTAACGCCACGGTAGCCGATGGTCTGTCTTCTGGTTGTCGATTTAACATCCAAGATAGAAGGTCTTTCAGTGTTTCATCCTTGATTTCGTCCAAGCCAACAGGGTTTCCATTTAACATATTGTCCAATCTATGCCGTTTAGTTCCAAACGGGTGTTTTCCTTTTGTTGCAATATAATAAGCTACCATTCCTGCATTCTAAAAAGATTAACAATGTAATGTTACAAATTGACTTTATACATGCATGTCGTGCAAATGGTTATATTCCTGCACCTACCATTACATCAGACTCTTTCTTGTACCGTCCTTTATCGACTGTATCTTTATCTTCACAATATGATTCAGGAGCAATCCAATACTCAGTTCCCATGTTAGGCTTGCTTTCATATGTCGTACAATCATTATTCAATATTCGACTAATGCCAAAATCAGCTATCAGAAATTTGCCTTGTGAATCTCGAAGAACATTGGTGGGCTTTAAATCACGATGAATAATAGGATTTGGGCCGCTATGAAGATCAGCTAATCCATGCAAAATTTGTCTGAGAATTTCGGGAAGAGCGTTTTGAAGATCATGTAAAGTAGAAGACTCTACGAAACTCTCCAATGATTCTTCACATAAGTCTAATATCAAATATACATATTCTTTTCCAGTCTCTTCCTCTAGGAAAGAATAATTGACAACATATTTCGACTTTCTTGCGTTGAATTCATCCAAAATTTTCTTTTCGTGCAGCGCAAGCTGGATGTAGTTATCTCGATGTATTCGTTTCACTGCTTTACCGTAACCATCCTTATCCAGTCCAAGATAAACACGGGTTGCATCATTTCCTTTGCCAATGCAAAACTCGTTTGAGAAAATTACTCGTACATTGCCCACCACTTTAACCTCGTCACTGGAATTGCGTCCATATTCAATCAATTTCAAAAACAATTCTTTATGTTTCGTTGATTCATCAATGTATTTCCACTCTTGCAACACCAATTCTAAAAAAATTAGATAAAATATTCCATTCAAGGGTAAAGGAAACGAAATTAATACGTCAAAATAGCTTGAACTTTACCAATCAGGAAAGGATATTATTAGCTACCGCACATTTTGAAAAAACTTATCAGCAACCACTAGACAAATCATAAGTTCATTAATTGTACAATCAAATCTGGCAACATCTGAGGTTTTATACAACAATTAATCACAAAACTTTCTGCAGTAAATTCATATATTTTAAAGAAATAACCTAAGTATTTGGAAAATTTTAAATATAAAATTCTAGAGCATATTTTTAGAGTCTAAAAATTTTTTACAGCAGAAGATAACAAAACAGCTTCATTTCATTTTTCTTTCCATTCTCGACACTCATCTTTTAGATAGACTATCTAATGTTTAATGCCAAATATGAACATTGAAGCTCGATCAGCAGCGAAAACTGAACAATTATTCTCTCAAACCTTGTTTGAACATCATTAAAGTGCCAATGAAACGAAAACTTTGCTAGTTACATAATATTTACATTGACCAGAACTTTGAAATGAATACTTTCTAAAATCTTTTATGTATGACTCTTTTATTAAAAAAATACTGAAGTGAAGTCCTTGCTATTACCAATTTATCTAACTTGTGACATCATATTGCATGCAAAATGAGTCGCTGCCATGTTTTAAATAAACTTCATTTTCCTGACAATTGTACGTTGATAATAGTAGGCAGTATTTTACATCATTAACACATCACAAAGAAAGACACTCTGCAAAGTTGAAGTAAAGTATTAGCAAATGCACCGAATAATTCTAGGTCTTATAATGCAATGTGATGTCACAAGTTAGATGAATCGAACATAATAAAAGCTTCAATATCTTGAGAACGATGGTTTTTGCATTTTTCATTTATTTTACTAAGCATATGATGGTTTATTTACAAGAAACAATTTGTCTGTCTTGTGTCTATTGTGTACGGGTTTTGGTTATCGAGAAAATTTCCTTTTTGATGAAATTTTTCTTCAGGTAGAAAAGGAATCATGCAATTCAATAAATATTTAACACCACAAAAAAAGTAAGCGATTTAAATTCTTATCATATCTTTCAGCCCTTTCGATACGATTCTTGTCTGTTTTAGAAACATGTGAAAGAAATCATGATTTTGTAGTGCTAAAGTATAAAATAATTGACAAGATAAACAACACGAACGATGCAAGCAAATGATCGAACTTACGGCTTTAAGTTTTGTAACATCTTTTTTGTGTTTTATGTGGGATGCAGAACATTTCAATTGTCTTTGGCTACCACAATCACATTTTACTAATTTGAAAAATTTTCTCTAATAATAGAACGCTCATTTGGAGATCTCTTATAAGTAAAGTTAAAGAGAGCAATTGAGCAAATCATTTCCATGCTTTCACGTAAGATTTCCAAATCAATTTTCTATCTAGCCATCTAACTGTCTATTTATTGGTCTATTTGTTTAAATATATTTGCATTATGTTAAATGTAAAATACGTTGGTATTCACAAGAAATCAGTGGACCACAATTGAAAATATGAATACCCCCTCCCACCCATTAAGTTCTGTAAGCAATATTTCAATAAGCAACGTTATTAAACACCTCCCCAACCCACCAAAAATTATAGTTTCGGCCCTCTAAATAGTGGTCCGTGCTACAATATCTGAGAAAACATGATACATCTATTGAGTTCCGTAAGCGATATTTCATCAGCAACGTTATTAAACACCCCCTCCCCCAACCCACCAAAAGTTATAGTTTCGGCCATCTATTTATAGTTTCGGCCATCTATACAGTGGTCAGTGCTACAATATCTTAGAAAACAAGATACAGCCATTAAGTTCTGTAAGCAATATTTCAACAGCAGCGTTAAAGAATATCTTCTCCCCCCACACAACTAAAAGTTATAGTTTCGGCCCTCTATAAAGTAATCCGTGCTACAATATCTGAGAAAACATGATACATCTATTGAGTTCTGTAAGCGATATTTCATCAGCAACGTTATCCAACAGCTAACCCAACCCACCAAAAGTTATAGTTTCGGCCATCTATACAGTGGTCAGTGCTAAAATATCTGAGAAAACATGATACAGCCATTAAGTTTATATTTTATAGTGGAAGATATAACAAAACGGCTTTGTTTGAACAAACGATTTTTTCACTCTTTTGCCTTTTAGATAAAGTCTCTAATCTTTGCTACTAAACTTTTAATAAAATGACAGATTAAAGAGTTTTTAATTGATCAACCTCCATGCTCTGCCATCTGTCTTATTCCCATTGCCACTATCTCAAAACCATACAACAATGTTGGATTTATACTCTCTTTAGACCTTTCTTTTCATATTAGTTGAAATTATTTTGTCATTTAACACAAAGGACTCTTTTCTCCACCCCCTCCACATACACTCTACATCAATCTGAACTTCTCCTTCGTGTAACCTCATTACTCTTTCCTCTACATTCTATAGCATGATTCCTCTTCTCCGTTGCATGGAAACGTTTGGCCTATGGTTAATTTACAATAACCAAAACCGTATGAATAGATAATGTTTGTAAGAAAAGTGCTAAAAATGAGCACTTTCCTAACTAAAGCTAAGCTTCGTCATTCATGATGATAATAAAGTAGAGGTTCCCTTGTCTTCCTTCAGTGTATTCATACACCTATTCGTTGGTTTTTCTCTACGCTTCTTACTGTGTATATAACTGATAGTTGCCTTCACCCTATCTACGTAGGCCCTGTTTACATGAGACCGGGACGAAGTCAAACCGGAATGAAAATCAGAATTTGTTGCATGTTTGCATGGGATCGGCACGAAATCACGAAAATCCTCATTCGCGTAATGCCTCCTTTGCAGGCTAGTTTTACGCTTGCTAGCCATTTTGCTTTTGTAGATTGCTTTTGTGTGCATGCGTTGATGCCATTTCAGACCGGTCTAAACAGTAATTTGAGTTTACAATGATGACGGTTTCCATTCATACCGTTCTGAACTCAGTCGGATCAGTTCAGCAGGTGGTACGACTTCAGACCACTATGAGCCATTTTCGTAACGGTCGCATGTAAACATCTACTGTAAAAAATATTATGACCAACGCAAGGTGGTACCGCGGTTTGTCTTCGTTCCGGTCTCATGTAAACAGGGCCATACTCTACTCTATGTCTACCTCTTATTCTTGAAACGTGCTCTTGTTGTGTGTTTTTTATTTACATACATACATGCCTTCTCTGAATAATATTCATTCCTTATTTCTATAGAGCAATGTCAACAACATGTAAGACAATCTTGCTGCAAATTACAAGGAAGTTCGCTAAGAAAACACGAGTAATATTTTGCATGTCACGTGGTACCTAGAAACTGTGAACATTGCGTACATAGTCACAGCCACAGTGTAGTGAATATGCAGTAGGGCCAATTTATTGATTTTTTTCGTGAAACGCATATGTTATTACGCATGTGATTACCATAGTGGCAGCATGTCAATCGCTTTTTTTGACCAATAGGAATGATAAAATGGCTAACAGCAGCCAATAATCTAATTAAATATACAGCAGCAAGTTGCACACGATGTAGACCTACTGTATATTCCCGGTACTGTTCAAAGCTCTATCATATATTTTCATACGGCAATGACTGTTTTGACTTCAGAAATTTTCGATTATTGATGTGTTCTTAGGGCAGTTTCGTCACACAACTATTTTTTAAGTCGCTTAGAAATAACAGTCAATGGAAATGATAAAAGTTGCTGTTGTAAAATGACATGTCAAATTATGTAGTGTGTGACTGTGTCATATTATAGATTATAAGATGTAACCGATATTATTAAATTGATGTAAAATACTATAGTTATGTTAAGAGAACACTTTCTCACTGCAATGCGTCATTGCGGTAGAATGTAGGTAGAAACGGAATGGCAAAGTTGCACGTCATATCTAAACGCCCAAAACCACTTCCGAATAATTATACATAAATATAGCTTGCAAGCGTTGGTTCGAGTGTTCGGAAAAGTTAACGTTATTGGTGTATGAACTGGTCATACAAATTTGATGAATTAGAGTCGTATTGCATATGGCAATAAATTTCGAAAACGCAGTTCTAGGATTGACGGTTGTCCGTAATCTTATCGAGATCAATTCAATCATTCCGTATCGCGAAGAACCAACTCTTGGAACGTAAAATCGTGCACAACACTGTAAATACCTTATTGAAGTGTTAAAATATTATATTCAAAATACAGTCTGATCGTTACTGTGAAGTTTGCGACAGTGAACCAGCACTTCGCACAGATTGTGTGAAAGTTTCTTCTGGTTAATGATCTTGGAGTCACATAAAAAGAATTGGGTTAGCTATGTGACGACGTAGCTAATTTGAGCATCCGATCCGACATAAAGTTGAATATGGTGCAAAATTTCACTTTTAATGTGCACAAACGTTTAAAACATATACTTTATTAGGAGTTTCATTATTTGCATCAATTTTATATGGCAAGAATCGTTGTTAGAAATACACAAAGCCCATAACGTTTCTACAATCGTTTCCATCCACACTATTCAGTATTCACATTTTCTAAAGTCGATTATGATTGACTATAGAAGCTAGCAACTATATAACTAACAGAACCACTGCCATTTATAACAAAATTAAAAACGATATTTGTATCATAAAACTGCCAAAAGAATACTCAAAATTTTAAAGCAAATACAGTCAACGCTATATAAAAATATATAATAGAGCTGTGACAATGTACGCAATCTTTACAATTTATACCACGTGACATACAAAACTATAAGTGGCGAAAGTGGTGGATTCAATCAAACCCAAAAAAACCATGTAATATAGATTGTAAAAATACACTTTGAGATATTTCTCGATTGTGATTAGTCGATTGCAGTACAGTTTATCTGTAATCATAACATAACAGATTGGATTTTTAGATTTGTAAATAATACTAAACATCGATCAATTTCTGATCAAGCTGAGACGACACACAGAAAATTGTAGTTTTGTAGATCAATTTTCGGAGCATAGTCGAGACCAAGTAATTGTTAAGTGTCAGACGTCTAAATTAAAAATAAAGTTGCTCAAAAGGAGTCAGATTCAAAACTAGAGGATGTAAAACAGATCGCTAGATGCAATGGAAACTACCGACATTTAAGATAAAACTAATAAAACGCCTTTTTAGTATATCACAGTCCCATTCAGGGTAAACAATTTATTTATATCGTACCTTCCTATACTGTATCATATTTCGTAACACTAATCATTTCGTACTGAAGATGGTATTTTGTCAATGCAAAACCATCGTTTTTTAAATGTTTTTTAAACTTGTTGCTACTCAGAAACTATGGTAAAAGTTGCATACTTATGCCATTGCTTACATTTCATTCAAAAACAGTTTAAAATTCGATATTTTATTATTGTCATTATGGTCTGACCTCAGTTGTGATGTATGCTCATTGCTCCACGTTATTTTCAAATTTGAAAACTATGCGTGAAATTTATATAATATGAAACGAAATGTCATTCTAGTGTGGAAACATTGCTTCTATAACAAGCAACAAATACAAATACTTTATTTCTCAAATCATGCATTTTCTTAGTCCCAATGCTTAAAAGCCATTCGTCATATAGCCATGTCTATTTCTCATAAAATTGCAGAATAAAGGATTTCCTCGCACACAAGCGTAAAATTTCAACAGTAAATGATTACATGTTTCTCTTCCTGTTGCTTTGCCATAAATCATCTCGAGAAAATAGGCAACAACACATCAAAGCAAAAAGGTTCCATTGTCCTCTTTCAGTGCATCTCCTTGGTTTTCCTCTGTACACATCACTCACTGACACCTGCCTCTGCTCTTTATTAACATACTCTGCTTTACATTCACCTTTGCATCGGTATGTTGTGTTTTGTCATATCACTTAAACACTAGTCATTAATTTGGCTTATGTTGAATAGTTTACCCCAGGTTTGCATTCAATTAATTGTGATTTAAGAGTAACAAGGCATGAGTTTTACTTGCCGTCAATATTAGGTATGCGACGCACTTTCCAGGCTTCACTTGTCCTTTCATTAGGTGTTGAAGAAAACGCTTCCATTGCAAGATCTGCCAAATCGAAAAATGGTAAATAAAGCAACAATAAATATTAAAATATGACTTATCAAGCGTCAAACACCTTGTGAAAATTTTTGTGACTATCCATGATAGTAAAAACCTGTTCTACGTGAATCACATTCCATGATTTGTTTTATAAAAATGAGCATGCACCACTCTCATTGACTTTCAAAATACGGTTTTTCACCGTCTCTAAATTCTTTTTCGTCATTGTTTATCCCCAGTTTGTACTGAAATTCTTTGAAGGACATAAAGTAAGTACAATTAAGGATGAGTTAAACTAAAACAATTTAATGCGTAAGGGTTGCTCAGATTTCCCCAATGTACAATGAATTTCGATAGTAAATGTGCATTTTGGACGAAAAGGAGAGTAACAAAAATTAAAGAGTTATAATTTTGCTCAATTATCCAAACATATCTGATACGATTAGAGGCAAGCTGACGTGAAGTTAATCAAAAGTTCTGCTTATTGTGCATAAAACCTTGTACGTATGATTTTAGCGTATTAAAGTTAAAGTTTTGAGGAAAATATTTCTATTGTCTAAATTATTTCTTATTTTATACGAATGATATAGTAGGTTCCATTGGTGTAAGTCCAATACAAAAGTACAATGTCCTTGTTAAGTGTCAAAGAAGGCGTCATTTGATTTTACTATAGACGCATAAAATATTTTACATAATGTAATCAACATCTAAATATTCATCCTAATGTAATCAACAAATGATTTTTAACCATGGTGCCATACACAAAATAGGCACGCAGTGCTTAAATGTGCGGCCTGTCAAGTAAATGGCCACAAAATGAAGTAGTTTCACAACGATAGTTCAAATAATAACGCACATTTAATATTATTTAAATCAAACATGTTTCTCCAATCGCTTTGCCAAGGATTGACCATCGCATGGCAACCTGATAGTTCGTTGGCAATTCTGGGTGATTATCCCTCCATGGAGGTGAATTTTCATACTGACCATTTTTTTTCGCATCGTCAACTGTTCTTTAAACTCATGATACAAACGTCCTTGATCCCTTTGTGCACTGACGTCTAAGCCTAACACATCCAAACTATCAAGTTGCTTGTAATCCTCATGAGGGGTTTTTGTAATTAAGTATAATGGGTTTGTCTCTCGTCCCGGTGACACTATCGTCCATCCTAACATCGTCCTCTAACCAACTGGCGTCCCATCATCTCCAACTCTGGTGTCTTGATTCTGGAGATTGCACTCGTCCCCAAAAATGAGGTGAACAGGCAAAAGCAGCTTTTCATCTTAATCGGGCATGTCTACACCTCATAAGTGCTCATAATGCTCAATCCGCTGTTTATACTTGGGGTTTCGTAAAGTCCACAATACATTCTTTTCGAGTTCATTCACTTCACATGTCCATTTGAATTTTCCCTCCACATCTGCTATTTTGACTTGATAAATACTGATCTTTTTAGTAGCTGTTTGAAACATCATCTTAATGAATTTATATTCTTGCCTTATGGATTTTTCTTTGATTGTATTTACCCACTTCCTTGATGCAAAGGAACTACTAGATCTACTGTCTAAAAGTGCTCGACATTTATTCCTTTGATTGTTACTACCATAGGGGAATAAACAACATTCTTCAAATTAGGATAACATACCAATTTTTGATTCTTCTCCTGCTGATCACATATAGAAGTATGGTGCTTCCTTTTACAGATATAGCAGTGAATCTGACTCTTGCAATCACTTGTTCTATGGTTTTCCCCTGTGCATATAAAAGAGCGTCGTTTTGCCATTAAGTTCTTTTCGCGCTCACTGACATTCTAGACTTTGTAAGAATCTATGGATCTGTGGTCTTTGCTGTCACAGTACACACATTGTCTTGTTTGGACTTTGGTTAATAGTAATTTTCTTTCTTTTCTTTCAATACACTCTCTCTCTCTTTCCTTCTTTATAAGTTTGTGATAGTGGATTTCGTTATATCCAGGCTCGCAAAGCTTCAACTAGATCTGTAAAGGTGAACTTTTCACTTTTCCCAATCCGGTGATGCTTTTGTTAAGTCAGCTCAAATCTCCTCCAACTTGCTGTAGTTATTTTCACGTTTCCTGCAACATCTCTCGAGTTCCCAAATATCTCAAGCGCTCGAACATGCCCAAGTATAGTATTATAAAAATTATTTATCTTATGTTTTGAAACACCGGTATTAGTTGGCAGAGCTAATATTTCGTGTATGTGTGCATTAGCAACTTCACTCGGATCAACATATCTCTCTTTTAACAACAAAGTTACAGTTTGATCAGAAAAGGAAGCATCATAAAGAAGAAATTCAGCGCATATAGACTTTGATGAAATCACGTTCTAAAAGCTACAACGCCAAGTCCTAGCAAAATTATGAAGTATATAGGTAGGAAAGCGAGAGGATGTAGCATGTAAATAGATATAATTTAATTGTTGCATATATAAATACCATTTTGCATCGTGAGTCTTTGATATTACAGCAAGCCGCACAAACACAGATATTAATATTTTATGCAGTGCGGTGTTTGAAATTAAATGAAGATATGATCTTCGCACTTTGTTGGACAATTTAAGCAATTGTCTCTGAACCTGAAAAATCAGGTGACTCACACCTGTGTGACTTCATAGCTCAGTTGGTCAGAGCACTGCACCGGCACCGCAGAGGTCATGGGTTCGAATCCCGTTGAGTCACCTGATTTTTTCAGGTTCCTGAGACAATTGCTTAAATTGTCCAACAAAGTGCGAATCATATCTTCATTTAAACACAGATATTGTTGCTAAGCAATAATACTATAAATTTACTTCAGGGGTCTCAACTACAGCCCGCGTGCCAGATGCGGCCCGTTGGCCTCTCAATCCGGCCTGCGGAGACACTTAAGAAAGTCAATTTCACCTCTCATATTGAGACAACTGAACAGACTAATTGTGATTTTCTTATGATACTACTCTTGGTTGAAATTTAACCTTTAAATTTTGAATATATATTTTCTTAACTAATGAAGCTTGTGCAATGTACTTCGTTTTATTAAAATATTCGCTATTTGACCAGCGGTATACGGTTTGTCGGCCCTCAACACGCTGGATGAAAGTTAATGTGGCCCTCTGGCTGTAAAGTTTGGAGACCCCTGATTTATTTGGATAAAAACTGTAAACCATGTACTTATTGTAATGAAGCTGACATTGATACAAATAAGTGACGATGGCAGTTATATAATTGACGTGCATCGATATTTCTTGATTTCTTACCTGATACAGATGACTTTGATCTTTGAAAAGGTGGACTTTTACGACCTAACTAAAAATGTATTTAAATAAATTTTTGTTATTGATAAAATAAATTAATATTATCATCACACGTACAAGTAATTAAGAACATAAACTTGCTGTGATGTTACATTTATATACATTTGCTTTTCACTGTTAGGAACTGTCCTTCATTTTGATGAGTTTGATTACCGTTAAATCAAGCTTCTCTTGATAATTTTCGGTTGCTTTGCAAACTAAAAATCTGATACAAGTATTCAGACAAAGTGTAATGGTTACATTTATAAAAATTAATCTTTTATATCTGACGTGCCATTAACTTACCTCGAAATAAATAAAGAAAGAAACTACGGCTTTCGTACATATTTTTATCTGTGGCTTTACCATCTATGCTATTTAAGTGCTTATGAAGTTCGTGCATGTCTAAATTGGATTTTAATTTTGATTGCTCTTCTTGCTATTGTAATTTCAAAAAGTTAATTAGTCTTTAATTTTTAGTGTCTTTTCCAATCTCGTATAAGTCTGTTAAAATACACGCATGATAATAAATAACATTAGGAGTATGGTCGTCAGCCTCAGTACTAAATTTTAGTAGCTTTTTGCAAACTTAAATATTAGATACAGTTAAGTATTCAGACAGATTCTCACAAAAATATCCAAAGTAAGCTTGAGTGTTAAAACAATACACACCGTTTGCAATGGCATCGAACGTAAATCTTCTTGACCTATTGACGGGATATCGTAATTGGCGATTGTAAGATCATCTAAAATGGAGTAAAAAAAAGAAACATGTGACACCAACTTTATTACGCACTATCGGAACAAAAATTTGGCGTCTGAAGGATATTATGGGAGGTGCAATAACCCACTGTCGGGAAACTTTTGGGCTACAGTTAATTTACAATAACCAATGGAAACCGTATGAACAGACATTGTTTATAAGAAAAATGCTATAGAATTGAGAACTTTCCCATTAATTACTAAGTCACTCATGATGATGAACAAAGAGGTTCCTCTTTCAGTGCATCTATTTATTTCCTACTCTTTGGTTTACTCTAGGCTTTTCACATATTGACACTTTCCTCTTTCCTATTCCATACTGTATTATTTTAAGTCCATCTAATTTTAATTCTTGTAGCTTCAGTTTCTCTTGTGTCTGTTTCATACACATACATACATGCATTCTGTCTTCTTTCGGCAAAAATTCATTCTTCAGTAATTCTAGAGAATTAAATGTCTCCCACACTCTTGCTGTAAGTTACAATGCTATATGCAAGTATTTACCCACTTAATGTCAATGCAGGACAACTCAACCATTAAACTAACAGTAATCTTTTGCTTTGACATGTTAACTTTTATTAATTGACTTTCAAAACGTAGAAATGATTTGAAAACAATATATATCCTCCACTTCGCTAATGCAAAGCACGTGTAATATTTTTGCATGTTAAGTCGTAGCTACAAACTGTAAACTAATATTATCTACATTGTCACAGCTCTATCATATATTTTTAAACGGCGTTGACTGTTTTGACTAGGAAAGTTTCGAATATTGATGTGCTCTTTTGGAGATTTTATGATACAAATATTTTTTAAATAAGTAAAATAACAGTAGTTCCGTAAGTGATAAAAAAAGTTGCTTGTAGTGAATGATCTTAATAAAAGAGTAGTGAATTTAGTGAAAAATTTCACTTTTATTGTGCCAAAACTTTAAAACTACTTGAAAATGTAGCTCCATCTTTGGCACAAAATTTGAACCCAAATCATCCCTTACCAAAAATTATAAACATAGAAAAAGCTAAGCGACCCATATTGTAAACACATCATCAAACTTGAAAGTCAGTTGTCTTTTAAGCATAAAAAAGCTATTATTGCTCTGTAAAAATGCAGTAGTTCCACCGTAAAAATATGTGATTGCACTAAAAACATTTTTACTAGGTCTCAAAGCCATCCGAGGCCGAAATGGATTATTTAGCTTCATGTTAAGACTAAATACATTTTCCTTTCTTGTTGAAAAAGGCGCATAGCTTTAAATCATTTTTAAAAATTTAAATTTCATTTTGTAAGCAAATCATTGCGAAAAATATCACTTTTAGATCACGGTCATAATATTTAAGATAAGAAGCTGCCTGCTTCTGCAGCCAATCAGATTTGAGGAAAAAAACAATATCACTTCGCATGCATTAACAAAAAGATACTAGTTGCTAAACCATAAATTTAAAGATTACGATACTTATCACATGGATTTTGCTGGCTCTGTAAGTGTTTTATAACTGGCAATATAAGTTACATAAAAATTGCTTCAATTCTTTTGCATGTATCGTATCGTAAATCTTAGGCACAATAATTGGCGACTGAATTAGAGATTGAGAGCAGAGCATTCACATTTTGTCGAGAATTTGTTTTTTAAATGGTACTACATCGATAAGTACGGATATTAGCGGCCTACAATTGTTCTATTGTCAATCGATATTATATGTGTATCTCTGAGGTGGAAAAGATTGGGAATAAGTTTTCAATTTTTTCTCGAAACTCGAAGTTAAAGAAAATTAAAGATAATAGCAAAAGAAATCTCTACAACTGCATTGTGCATAGATAGACGTTCAGGTGATCTTTGAAATGCTACTTCCCATACCTGATGACATGAATGGGAGATAAATGGATGAGTACGAATTTGCTTTTAAATTGTTTGACGAATATTTTATCTTCGACAGTTAATATCCCTTATAAAAGACAAAATTTTGCCCCATGAAACAAGAAAACGGAAAACTATCGACTAGCTGAGAACTGTACTTTTGGTGATCAATTATCTAAACAGATTGGACACCAAGTAAGTGATACATGTCATCAAGATTAAAAAAGAAGCGACCATAAAAGGAGTCACGATATGAAACTAAAAGATGTACAACAGATCGCTCAAGCTATGGAACCCGTCGGCTTTAAAGCTAAAACAATTGAAACGCATAAAAACGAAAAAGTTAATCATATTCGAAAAATCCAAAATCAGAGATTTTATGGTCTGATTAGTTGTCCTACAAAATTAAAATATTTCCATTGTGCATGCATGGTGGTAAAAGTACGCAGGAGATGTGTGAACGTTGGTCCTTCCGCAGCTGTATGTAGGTCAAAGATAAATTTGTAACCAGAAGCCAAAATTAAAAGTCAAATGAAGATAAAAAGCAAAGAAATGTAAATAAAGGAGTTATAATAAACTACACCATGAAGAGGAATACGCTTTTATTGTACACAAAAAAATTGAAAATGGAATTGAGCATAAAAATCTCAAGTTTAAGGTGTTGACGTTCAGGTTCAGAGCATCATGATTGACTGTGAATCTATTTGTAATATCATAGATAAAAAACCTGGGAGGCTCTTAAGAAGAGTGGGGTCAAGTACACACAAAAAAATCAAGTGGAAACATATATGCATTCTGGTCAATCTCATCCTTAAACCCAATTTTAAGCCCTATATGGAAATTTCAGACAAAAGTCGATTATGGCAATGCAGAGATTGAGCTACAATTTATAGTTTTACACGGGGACATTAAAAGATTTTCAGTTAAAGATCCACATGGACCTTGACGTGAAATCTGTGGCTTTGAATCCAAAAAGAACTCTGTTTAATTTGAGGAAGAAAGTAGAAAACAAAAATTGACCGAGATGTTTGAAGGAGATAATATTTAAAGAGCAGGAGAGCAAACTCCATGGGTAAGTTATGTTTAAAATGGGGGTTTTCCTTAAATAAATAATATTTGTTGAAGAATCGAGGGGATAACAACATTTGTAAGTCATAGTGGTTTATTTTTACAAACTACTTATGTTTGGAATAACATAAACAGCAGATGTGTATCAGTATATTACCAAACAGGTACTACAGTAATGTGGGAGTACAAAATATTATGGATGACAATATTGGTCTTGGTCAATTAGTTATAGTGCTTGATAAAAGATTGAATGAAGTTATTGAGAAACAAATAGAGACGAGACTTACTCTTAACTCGGATAAATGTAGATTTCTACATCTAAAACTACCTTTATAGGACATTTGTAACCTGAAAGATGTATTGGCGCAGAGATAAGAAGGTCAAAGCTATGGCGGAAGCTAAAGAACTGAAAACAACAATTAAATTTCGATGTTTGCTTGGTCTAGAAAATTTTCGTAGTCATTATATCCCGAATTAGAAGACTCGCAAACCTTTTGCAACAAATGACTCGGACAACAGTATCTTTGGGGGTAAAAATAGAGTAAAGCGCTTAAAAAACAACAAAAAATACGTCTTTCTGGATGCAGTGAGGACAATCAGTTAAAATTGGGTTATGAAGGCTTTTACCAAAAATTAATTGGTTATTATAACTGTTTATACTTGTTTATGCGATGTTTGTATGGACGAAATAACCATTTGATAATGGTTACAACCACTTTTAGTATAGGCTAGTCTTTCTCAAAGTGAGCATGCTCAATTTCTTACTAACGTCCACGACCGTGCAATTCTTACAACCTGACAACATTCATACTCATTCTGAGCCTAACAATTTTCCTCGGAATTCCTAATTTTAAACCATTTTTGCATTTCACATGCTACTTAAATTACTAATTATAACGTGCTTTCCTTCCCATACAGCATGATACAAATTTAAAAAGTCTTGACAAGTAAACAAGTTGATGATGACAGTTAATATATTTGAAAGTTGCGAAATGTTCCGGCAATTAACTAAAAACGTTGACGAGAAATGTAAACTACATTCATCTTCTAGGAGACTGGGATCACGATCAATAAACAGTAAAACAAGTCAAGTGTATAGAATCACGTACGGCATACATATATAAAAAATTAGTAATATTTTCCAGTTTCAAAATGTCTTATTAGATCATATCATTCCCTAATTATTAAAACCTCTTATCTGCAAGTGCTAAGTCAATCAGTTTTGTTATTACCTTTTACAAAAATATGCAACTGTAATTCAGATGGAATTGAGAACATAGTAGAAATATTTATAGAATGTATGCTTAAACAAAGAGAGTATGTAAATAAATACAAAATGATACCTGTTTTGAGTGAGACAAAATTTCCTAAAAATCGAGGTATATTTCTTCAAGGGAATTTTTCAATAAAGGTCGATCGAATTTCATTTGTTTAATAAAGGTCTTCAAAATCTTTTTGCCTTTGCAAAGGAGTTTGGATATTTTTTCATGGCTAAAATAAAATTCTCTATGTTGCCTGTACGGTATTTTTGGAAGTGCACCCACTAGGGTCATACAGTTAAAACTTTCAGATTATTTTTTCTATTTCTTCTTAAGTAAGTCTGGTGTGCCTAACCAACCTTACAACACATCATCAAAACAAAAATTAAGGGGAATAGAGAAAATGCAATAAGCCAATGTCGGGAAATTTTGAGCCCCATACTATGCGCAATTTCGCAAAAACTTCGTCATTCCATATCAATAATAAACAAGTGGAAGTTTCCATTGTCCTCTTTAGTGCATCATACACTTTCTACTTTTTGGTTTTCATAGAGGCTTCTTATACGACACATACAGACACTTTTCTCAGCACTATTCCGTATTCTATTTTACGTCCATATCTAATTTTTGTAACATCACAGTTCCTATTGTGTCTCTTATTCATTCACGTACATACATGTATTCTTTCTACAATCAGCTAAAATTCATTCCTTATGTTTGAAGCAATGCCTCCAATATTTTAAAAAATCTTCCTACAAATTACAAGGATATTCTGCTTAGAAAACACGAGTACTTATTGCATGTCACGTGATACCTAAAACTGTGAACATTGCGTACATAGTCACAGCCCCAATGTAATGAATATACAGTAGAGCCACTGCAATGATTTTTTCGTGCAACACATATCGCAATTCGGGCAACACATTTTCGTAACCACATATTACGCATGTGATTACCATAGTGGCAGCCAGTCAAATGCTTTTTTTGATTAATAGGAATGATGAAATGGCTAACAGCAGCCAATAATCTAACTAAATGTACAGAAGCAAGCTGCACATAATATGGACCTACTGTATATTCCCTATACTGTTCACATCTCTATCATATATTTTCATACAACAATGATTGTTTTGTCATCAGAAATTTTCGAGTATTGGTATGTTTTTAGGGCAGTTTCGCCACACGACTATCTTTTTAAGTCACTTAGAAAAAACAGTCAATAGGTAAATGATAAAAGTTACTTCTAGTTAATGATCTTGGAGTCACATAAAAAATTGGGTTAGCTATGTGACGGCGTAGCTAATTTAAACATTCAATCAGACATAAAGTTGAATATGATGCAAAATTTCACTTTTATTGTGCACGAACCTTTTGCATCGAGAATCGTTGTTAGAAATACAAAAAGCACATAACGTTTTAAGGATTGTTTCCATCCACATTATTCAGTATTCACATTTTCTAAAGTCGATTATAATTGGCTATAGAAGCTAGCAACTATGTAACTAACAGAACCACTGCCATTTATAACAAAATTAAAAAAGATATTTTATCCTAAAATTGCCAAAAGTATACTCGAAATTTTTCAGGCAAAAACAGTCAACGCTATATAAGAATATATAATTGAGCTTTGACAAATGTACGCATTGTTTACAGTTTGTACCACGACATACGAAAATATAATTGGCGAGTGGTGGATTCCAATCAAATTCATAAAAACTATGTATTATAGATTGTAAAATACACTTTCAGATATTTCTCGATTGTAATTAGTCGATTGCAGTGCAGTTTATCTGTAATCATAAAATAACAGATAGGATTTTTAGATTTGTCTATATGTAAATATTACTACACATCGATCAATTTGTGATCAAGCTGAGACGACACACAGAAAATTGTAGTTTTGTACATCAATTTTCGGAGCATAGTAAAGACTAAGTAATTGTTAAGTGTCAGTCATCTGAATTAAGAATAAAGTTGCTCGAAAGGAGTTAGATTCAAAACTAGAGGATGTACAACAGAACGCTAGATGTAATGGAAACTACCGACTTTCAAGAAAACACCATTAAAACGCCTTATTATATCACATTCCCATTCAATGTAAACAATTTATTCATATCGTATCTTTCTATACTGTATCATATTTCGTCACACTAATCATTTCGTACTGAAGATGGCATTTTGTTGATGTAGAAACATGTTTGCTTATAAAAAATCATCGTTTTTAAATGTTTTTAAAATTAGTAAGAGTTTCTTACTTATGTCATTGCACACATTTCGATATTTCATTATCGACATTATTGTCTGACCTCTGTTGTGATGTATGCTCACTGCTCCACGTTATTTTCAAATTTGAAAACTATTTGTAAAATGATTTTAATATGAAACAAAATGCCTTTCTAGTTTGAAAATATTGCTTCTATAACAAACTTTTGTGCTGGATGCTTGATCTAGTCTTATTTCAAGATCAGTGCACGAAACCTACACACGGAATATTACAGTAACATAGTGGTTAACCGCACATGCGCAGCTGCTACCCACAAAACTCATTTTGCATTCATAGTCACAAACATTACACAGCATGCAGGATAAGCAAAACATTTATGTTGCCACGCAAAATAACTATGATTTTATTTGAATCAAAACAGTAAGTCATGCAATTATTGTAATGAAACTAACATTGATACAAATAAAGAAAGATTTAGAAAGGATCATACTGTAATTGACATGCAATGATATTCGTTGATTTCTTACCTTTATATAAAGTTTCAGATGACTTTAATCTTGAAAAAAGTGGACTTTCACGATCAAACTAAAACATTATTGAAATGTTCATTCTACTATCGATAAAACAAATTAATATTATCACAAGTACAAGTAATTAAAATCATAAACTTCGTGTGTTGTTACATTTTTCAACATTCATCTTTTTTTTACGTCTTGCCATTAAACCATCTCGGAAAAAAATGAACAACGGCTGTCGTATATATTGTTACCAGTGCTTTTCCCGTCAATGCTATTTAAGTGCTGGTGCTAGTCAAAATAGTGCTTGTCCGAATTAGACTATCTGATGGTACTTCTTTTTTTTGTTTTTTTGTTAATTTTGCTTTCACTGTTAAGACCTTTCTTTCATTCTTGCTGTTATAACACAAGACGTAACAGTCTAACATCACAATCACGTCTTCTTGGGCTCTTGTCTAACTCCTGTTTTAGCAAACGTAATTCTTACTGAATTTGGATGTTTGATTGACTCAGAACTTATATCTTATCTGAGATACGTTGATAACATACTTTTCGTAATCAGACCTTTCCATTTCAGATGTTCTTAACAAATTTTTTAGGTCTTATCCCCATCTAAAATTTGATTACTGTTGACACTTTAGAAGATGATGATCTGACAACTATGGCAAAACTACTAAAACTGGCCTATACTATCGTTTCACTAGCTTTGAACCTTTCACTATAAAGAGATGTCTTTCAATTGCCTCCAAAAACAAGACACACGAATCACATCAAGTGCAGTAAAAAAATTACTGGCTAAAACAACCAGAGCTAAGTTTTCCTGGAAAAACGTTGACAACCAATTAAAGTTGCATTGCAGAAAGCTATTACTAAAATGTAATTGGTTATTTTAAAACTTTACACTTGTTTATCGGTAGCGTAGCTAGCTCGCTTGTTTTGGTCCTGCTATGTAAATTTTAGAATATTAACATTATCTATTTCTTTAGAAATCTATTGTTTTACAGTAAGTGAACACAGAAAAATTAACAAAGCAGGACCAAATGTGCGGGCTGCAACGCTACTGTTGTTTATACGATTTTTGTTTGGTCGAAAAAAGCGTTCGATAATGGTTGCAACCACTTACTTTAAGCCTGTATTTATGTCAAGGTGAACATGCTCAATTTCTCACTTACGTCCACGACCATGCAATTCTTACAACCTAACAACATTCATACTCCTGATCTTGGCAATACTCCTCTAGTAAACCTAATTTTAAACAATTTTCACAATTCACATAATGCTAAAATTAATAATTACAACGTGCTTGCCTTTCCATACAGTCTAATACAAATCTAAAAAGTCTTGACAAGTAAAAAAATTAATGTAACATGTTTGTAAATGTAGATCGTCCAGGTTGGTATAGTCCTGAGAAGGACTGTTTTTGTTGTTGTTGACTGACGTTTCGACAACCTTAGCGGTAGCCATCTTCAGAGTCAAATGAGGAATAAACGTCAGGTTAGCCGTATTTATCTGGTACTTACGTCATTTTATTGTGTGTACAGGAGATGTGTGGGTGTGAACTGTGTATCATCATTGTGAATTAGTGCGAAGTTAACTGTTTTTAGTTGTGATGTGTGATTTAGGTGTAACGATGTTAGTTGTAATGTGTGGGTGTCAATTATGTATTGTCATTGTGAATCAGTGTGAAGTGTAATGTTTATAGTTGATCGTTTGTTTGTATTGTGAACAAGTCGTTTGTAAGGTGCCGGTAGTTGCTATGATCTGTTAAGGGGGGTTCGTTCCAAGTTGGTATACAAACTTTCTAATGTAAGCCGTTGTCTATAGTCTGTACTGTAAGTAATGCATTTTGCTGAGTCCCAGTCAATGTTGTGCTTTGTGATTCGGTGATTTTCGGCAATGTGATTAATTTTGTCTTGTTTCTTAGTAGCTTGTTTGTGTTCAGTAAGTCGTATGTTTAAGCTCTTGCCAGTTTCCCCGATATAGGAGGCGTGAATGTCGGAGCAGTTTACAGCAGTTTATTAAACGTCTCAAAGCTCTTAAAAAACGTTTTGAGTATGTTAAGTGTCTATTGCATCGCGTTTTATGTGTAAACGTTAAGTCGATCAGTGTTGTTATTAACTCTTGCAAGAAAAATTCAACTACAATTTAGATGAAGTTCTTCGCTAACACTCATGAGCACTCGCCCTGAGAACATATTAGATTATTCACAGGGTGTATACTTAAAAAAGTATGTAAATAGATATGTAATGGTTACCTGTTTTGGTGGAGACAAAATTTTATCCAAATCAAGGAAACGACTTTTAAGGAAATTGTTCAATATAACTCGATCGAAGTTTTCATGCTCATTGAATATCTCCAAAATCATTTTAGACTTTGCCAAGGGATCTAGATCGTTTACGCAGTTTGAATACATTTCATAAGGTATATTTAGAACCACACTCAGTTCATCATAAAAAGCAACTTTCCGACTAATTTTTTCGATTTCCTCTAGTGTAAACTTGGTGTATCTACGTTCATCTAAAATAGAGTAACAAAAACATGTAACACCAATATACACTTAAAAATATTTCTCGATTGTAATTAGTCGATTGCAGTGCAGTTAATCTGTAATCATAAAATAACAGTTAGGATTTTCAGATTTGTCTATATGTAAATAATGCTACACATCGATCAATTTGTGATCAAGCTCAGACGACACACAGAAAATTGTAGTTTTGTATATCAATTTCGGAGCAGAGTCGAGACCAAGTAATAGTAAAGTGTCAGTCGTCTAAATTAAGACTAAAATTGCTGGAAAGGAGTTAGATTCAAAACTGGAGGATGTACAACAGATCGCTAAATGCAATGGAAGCTACCGACTTTCCAGATAAAACCGTTAAAACGCCTTTTAATTATATCACATTCCCATTCAATGTAAACAATTTATTCCTATCGTACCTTCCTATACTGTATCATATTTCGTAACACTAATCATTTCGTACTGAAGATGGCATTTTGTTAATGTAGAAACATGTTTGCTTATAAAGAAAATCATCGTTTGGTTAAATGCTTTTTAAACTTGCTGCTCCTCAGAAACTATGGTAAAAGGTACATACTTTTGCCATTGCATACATTTCGTACAAAAACAGTTTAAGATATGATATTTCATTATTGACATTATTGTCTGACTTCTGTTGTGATGTATGCTCATTGCTCCACGTCATTTTCAAATTTCAAACTATGCGCAAATTGTTTATAATATGAAACGAAATGTCTTTCTAGTGTGGAAACATTGCTTCTATAACAAGCAACAAATACAAATACTTTATTTCCAAATTGCATTTTTTTTTTATTTCGAATGTTTAAAAGCCATTCGTCATATAGCCATATGTATTTCTCATAAAAATGCAGAATATATGACTTCCTGGCACACAGGCGTAAATTTTCAACAGTAAATGATTACATGTTTCTCTTTCTTTTGCTTTGCCATAAATCATCTCGAGAAAATAGCCAACACCACATCAAAGCATTAAGGTTCCACTTCTCCTCTTTAAGTGCATCTCCTTGGTTTTCCTCTGTACACATTACTCACTGACACATCCCTCTGCCCTCTGCTAACATACACTACTTTAACTTCACATATAAATCGGTATGTTGTGTTTTGTCATACCACTTAGACACTTGTCATTTTGCTTACGTTGAATACTTTACCCGAGGTTTGCATTCAATTACTTATGATTTGTGAGTAAAAAGGCATGAGTTTTACTTGCCGTCAATATTAGGTTTGCGACGCTTACTCCTGGCTTCACTTGTTCCTTGATAAATTTTTGAAGAACGCGCTTCCATTTCATGCAAGATCTGCCAAATCAAAAAATGGTCAATAAAGCAAAAAAGCGTCAAAGGTCTTGTGAAAATTTTTGCGACTTACGCATGATAATAAAAAAGTAATTATGATTTGAGCGTATTAAAGTTAAAGCTGTGAGAAAATATTTCTATTGTCCAAATTATTTTTTATTTTATAGCGAAAGATATAGTAGGTGCCATTGGTGTAAGTCCAGTTCAGAAATAAAATGTCATTGTTAAGTGTCAAAGAAGGCGTTATTTGATTTTGCTATAAATGCATAAAATATTTTACATAATGTAATCAACACCTAAATATTCATAATAATGTGACAACAAATGATTTTTAACCATGGTGTCGATACACAAAAAATAGGCACGCAGTGCTTAAATGTGTGCGGCCTATAAAATAAAATGGCCACAAAATGAAGCAGTTTCACAACCATAGTTGAAATAATGACGCATATTTAATATCGTTTAAATCAAACATGTTTGAGATATAAAAATGTGTTTTGTGCTCAATGTTTTACATTCCAATGATTCATACATAAACTTCTCGTCTATGTAGAAGAGATAAATGGGTCAGAAACCTAGGCATGATTATGGCGCATACGATAACTTCAAAGAAGATGACTGAGAAGCAAGTGCAGTTTGTTAAATTCATTTAGTGTCCAAAAACTACATAAATCTTTAAAAATACGTACACCATTAGCCATAAGTTTATAGTTGACAAATAGAACTAGTTATTTAGTTGAACAACAGTAAAATTCGTTTCCAAAATTTCTTTGCGGACGTATGCTAGGAAATAACGTTTAGCAAAATCAAAAAATTTAGGCGAATAGGGAAAAGTAAAACTTTTTTACTTTTCTTGTACACCTTCTTTCTAAATTGTCTTTTTCTTGATAAATTTAACCCTCTTACAACGTTAAAGTGTAAGTTTATTGGAAATAGCTATAATGCTAAAATCACGATTTTTGTGAAAACGAGGCTGAAGCCCCCAAAACTTGCCCATATAACATCAATCTTTGAAATCAGTGCCTCAATATTGACCTATTTTAGTTCAATGGACTTTACGGCCATTATAAATTGTTTACATTCCTTTCTCCAAAGAAATGTATTTAAAGAAAAAAATGCCCTTTTCCTGTTGGACTACCCTTTTTTAGCTTTTTAAACCGCCTTTGGTGCCCCTTCAAATACCCTTTATAATATATCCTTCTCAATATATCCATCGTAAATTTGGGGAGTTGCACTCAAAAAATTAGGATCAGTCAATAACACATTTCAAGTTGACTTTTTGCATGTGTCGTTCTGTTACATATACAATAAGCACACTTTAAGTTCATTTTTGCAAGTGTTGTTCTGTTACATATACAATAAGCAGCAGCTGGTAGTTCTACATTCATTAGGCGTAATTGCTAAGTCTAAAAAAGATTTTCTTTCACTGTAAGAAATGTTCTAGTACATTAAAAGGTATGCGGTGTTGTTGAGGTAACAGTCTATATTAAACAATTACGTCTTCTTAGGCTATTCTCTAACACCTATAGTAGCTGATATAATTCTCACTGAATTTGAATGCTTGATCCACTCAGAACTTATTCAAGATAACACGATTATATTTCATCGGAGATACGTTGATGACATACTTCTCCTAATCAAACCTTCTACCATTTTGAAGGTTTTTGACAAATTTTGTTTTGTTTCGTTCCCATGTAAAATTCCACTACTGTTGATACTTTTGAAGATGATGATCTGAAATCTATCGCAAATACTAACCAGGGGCAAAACTAGAACAAAAAGCGTGGGGTTGTGCATTCATATATTCATAACTGCTGGACTGATTTGTTTTGTTAGGGATTACAATTTCAAAAGAAATCAATAAGGGCAGAGCTGAATATAGAAATATTCACCCACCCCAACCCCCAACTAACGTTCTAGTTTCGCCTGTGTTACTAACACTGGCCAATACTCTCGTTTCACTAGCTTTGAGCCTTTCACTTTAATAAGACGTCTTTAAATTGGGCTCCAAACACAAGACACACGTATCACCTCAAGTGCAGTATAAAAATTACAGGCTAAAACAACCAAAGCTATATTTTTCTGGATGCGACAAAGACAACCAATGAAAAGTGAATTATAGAAAGGTACTACCAAAATGTAATTGGTTGTTATAAAACTTTATACTTGTTTATCAGAAGTGTAGCTAGCCCGCATGTTTCGGTCCTGCTATGTCAATTTTATAATATTAATATTGTTCATTTTTTAGAAATCTATTGTTTTTACAGTAAGTGAAAACAGAAAAATTAACATAGTAGGACCAAAGTTGCGAACTGGCAACACCACTGTTTTTTATACGATTTTTGTTTGGTCAGAACAAGCGTTTGATAATGGTTGCAACCACTTTTACTTTAAGCCAGTATTTATCCACAACCATGCAATTCTTACAACTAACAACATTCATACGAAAGGATACGCGTATGATACGAGAACGATACGCTTATCATACGAGAATGATACATGTATGATACGAAAACGATACGCGTATGATGCGAGAACGATACGCGTATGATGCGAGAAATACGCGTATGATACGAAAATGATACGCGTATGATGCGAGAGCGATACGCTTATGATACGAGAACGATACGCTTATCATACGAGAATGATACATGTATGATACGAAAAGGATACGCGTATGATACGAAAAGGATACGCGTATGATACGAGAGCGATACGCTTATCATACGAGAATGATACGCGTATGATACGAAAAGGATACGCGTATCGTTCTCGTATCATACGCGTATGTTTTTCGTATCATACGCGTTTCATACTCGTACCGTATGTTAACAAATACGCGAGCGGTACTGTACGCCTAGCCAACGTTTATTGCGAATGTGCCTTAGCTTGTTAACGTTAGAGTCATAACAGCTTAGATTATAAATACGCGAGCGGTACTTTATATATTTAGCTCTGCGCGCTGTGTTAGTTTTGTAATTTCAAAAGAAGTTAGTTGGACAATGTTGAATATATACTTTTGCCTTGCACTGTACAGTTACCATTCAATAGTTCATACTTAAAATGCCGATGTCAGGGAAATAACTTTTTCAAATAATTAAATCGAATTTACAACATTTACAACATATTTCATGGGGCAAAGATTTTATTTTCATGAGCTTTTTAAGGCTAGAAGTAGTTGACTCCTCACCTGATGTGACGTAAAAGGAGAATACGCGCATTCAGTTATAGCAAATCTTCTCAAAAGCACTGCAAATTTAAGATGCCGCATTGTTGTATAGTTTGACTACATCGTCTAAGAGATTAATCAAAGAAAAAAGTAGAAATGCGTTTTCTCCTTTTTACGTCACTTCCGGCGTAGAGTCGCCTTCTACGCAAAAAAAAGACCATGAAGATAAAATTTCCGAATCATCAAATGTTCTTAAAATTTATATAATTATCAAATGAAGTCATTTTCCAGACCCTGATATCGGCACTTAAAATTAATAATTTTATACTTTATTCATACTACACTGAATGACAACGTAGCTATGCAATAAAAACTAAACAAGCGTAATGTTTCTTCGTAAAATTTTTTTGCGTAAACTGTGTCGTGATAGCTTGTTTTCAACTCTCTACACTACCTACGCTGACTGCGCTATTCGAATGTCCGTACCTGAAATCTAGACTCTTTGTCTTACGTCACTTCCTTAACTCACCCCTAAATTTATCAGTACCAACGCTATGAAAATATGTGAATATCCGTTCATGTTTCACATTATCCAAAGTGACAAGAACAAAAGAACATGATTACACTAAAACAGACTTGATCTTCAGCCTACCATATACTGAAATAGTATTGGTTTGCGATATTTTGACGTGTTAAAATGGCCAATAATTTAAGACCCAAGACTAATTCATTTGGTGACTACTCATGCACAAGTACAACCCACATTCATTTCCATTCCAGAAAGTGATGTAAGCTGAAATTGAACTAATGCAACAGCATAAAGGTGAATATCTTTGTTTCAAGAAGTTGAAATTAAAGATAGCCTTTTTGCCAAACTTGTTAGTCAGGGGACATATGTAATAACCATGGACATGTAACTAACGTGATTTGCCATAGGTGGCATTGAATATTCTGAAAACCTGCTCATCCTTAGCAGTCTGAAGTTGAAAGCAGGCATAATATTCTCAAAGATAGAATCATACATCAAAGACAGCAGTCAAATCAGGTAACATGTATGACACACATTCATGTTCATCAAGCACACATTTTCTCAACATGCAAATTATTCAAAATAACAAAGTCAACCAGACTAACTAGAAATGGTAGCAATCAATAGAAACTCAAAGCTGATTGACTTGTGTCCAAAAGCCTCTGAAATGAAATGATCTGCTTTAGAAGGACAACTCAATTAATGTATTACTGCCTTGATATTCACCCTTGTGTTATTGTACTGGTAGGTTTGGGCTTGCATAATTTACCATGCACAGAACAAGAATACAGTCATCAGGCAGATTAATTTTGCACAAATACTCAGGATCTAATGCACATTTAATATTGACAACTTTTGAAAATAGACATGTTTCGACATAATAGGTCACCTAGTATTTCATTCATACTGAAGATGGCATCATGAGATGTAAACATGTCTATTTTCAAAAGTTGTCGTTATATTAAATGTTATTATTTCTATAGTGCTTTAAATTCAGGATCTAATGATTATTTGTCATTTCAACCCCAAGTTGAAATAATTTAAACAATCGAATACAATAGATTGAAAATAAACTCTGCCTGTTTTAAGATACCAACTACTTTTGTTCTACTTTGGATACTATAGAAAAAAGAGATTTCTGGTCCTTCAGGATTTTACATTTACTAGAATAAAAACAATTCTGAAAAACATTGAATTTTTACAACATAACACTTATGTATTTTTAAAGAAGATAATTAAATTTAAAACCGATGATTTGCATATCCCAAGGCTAGAGTACAAGAAACATTATATATACTGTCTATAATTCTATAGCTCTAAAGTCCTACGGTTTTACAGTTCTTGAGCTCTATGTTCTAAAGTTCTACAGTTTTTAGTTCAATGTTGGTTCCATAGTTCTAAGAGTACTGTTTTATAGCTTTAGCTACTGTAGTTCTACAGTTTTAAGTTCTATGTTTTACAGTTCGACAAAGCTTGTACTTCTTATTTCTATGTAGGTCTGGGTTCTAAGTTCTAGGTTTACTATAGTTTCACACTCTACAGTAGTACAAGTCCAAATTCTGTCGTTCTATAGCTCTAAGTTCGTTTGTTTTACAGTTCTGTTCTTTTGCCTGCTTAAGTTTAAAATGTTAGGATAAAAATAAAAAATAATAACACAATAAAGTCATATAAACCATAAATAACGTAAAATAAACATTAATTACATAACAAAATAACTACAGAATAAATAACGATTACCGTAGTTTGAGATACACGAAAGAATTACGCCATAAACGTATCGTTGTGATAACTACATATTGTAGTCGCTTAGTAATTATTTGTATGGCTTACCTTAATCAGAGAAATTCGATAAATTCTTATTTTATAATTTAGTAATTTGGCAGACACTTCGTTTCGTCTAGTTTTCGTGAAAATGATGTGGCAATTTTGACCTCCACACACGCGTGTCTGGAGGTCAAATTTGACATAATTAATTAATCATAAAATCAATCAGTCAAGTAAATTTGCAGAGAATTTGTAAAGAATTTTGCAAATCGATCATGAATACATATTAGGAGAAATACGTATACATGTTGGTGTATACATGTATTCATAAAAAGAAATAAAGATGTTTTCGTGTTTGCACGGCGACAAACCTCGGAGACGTTGTCAGAACTCTTGAGCAGGTGCAACCCTCGACCTTCGGTACCGGGTTTGCACTGATCTGTTCTCGAGTTCTCAAAGGTCTCCTCGGTTTGCATGAGAGCCAGTGCAAACGCAATGCATCTTTATTTCTTTAATAACAGAAGAATATGAGCAATTTCATTGGTCGAGATCTATGATCTATAAGAGGACATACGCACGTAATTGGCGTCACAGAAAATGTCACAGACGAATGTCGGGTATATTTGAAAATTTATCGCAAGATACTGACAAAGACCTAGTTGAGGCAGTTAACGTGAACAAAAGAAAAGAAAAACCCGGTTTTCAAACATTGATTTGTACTGCGTCTTCGATAACAAAATTTCAACAAACTTAATCAGCCATTGCTGTTTACTTTGTTAATAAATACATTTTATCACGTAATTAAGCCAACCAATAGCATTTCTTCAATCCTATGCACACGTAGGCGTGATATTTGTAAAATCAAAACTTTTCAATGATTCAAGTGTTGAGGACAAAGAAAAAAACTGTTTGACCGTTTGATTTGAGAATTTTTTCGATTTTATTATATAAAACAAAAGTTAACATTTAACCGTATACGATACACAGCTAAAACGTCATTTGTGATAAAAACAAAAGTTACCACTCGCTCCGGCGGCTCAGGACTACTTTTTAGTTTTTATCACAGTTGACGTCATACCTGTGTATCTATAACGAGACAACGTTTAAATGTTATCTATTTATTAATCATATAACAACCAGAAGAATTTGAGCAATTTCATTAGTCGAAAGCTATGATCTATATAAGGACAGACGCACAGAATTAACGTCCCAGAAAATTTCTTGTTTTAAATGCATGGGCAAATAAAGAAATTAAGTGAACTTAGTTGAAGCAGTGCATGGACGTATTTGAGCAAAAGAAACGGAAAATCCGGTTTTCAAACAGTGACTTGTACTTCGTCTTCGATAACAAAAATTTAGTGTATAAATCAACTTTTGTAAAGCAAGATATGACTGAACGGCTTTATTTCCACAACAGAACTTTTTTCACTCTAAGACCTTTAGAACAAAATTTGATATGTGACTTTTGTTATCCTTTGTTGAAATGGGACTGTTGATAAAACACCATGCACAAGATGAAAATAACACAATGTCAATTTTACAGAATCGGAACTAAAATAATGTTCAAGTTAAAAATCAGATAGTGTCTCCAGTTTAAATTTGTTGCCCAATAATAACTAAATACCAAATTTTATTTCTGAATCTTCAACTTTTCCATCTTGCTTATGGCTATGAGAAACTGTTTTGCAAATTGAAATTTTGCAAATATAAATGGTTTAATAATAAAAATGTTTAATAATAAAAAATGTTTAATAATAAAAAATATGGTTAAAATAAGGTTTATTACTAAAAATAGTTTTTGCAGTTTGATAGCTATGTTAAGATACATATAAATCTTTAAAACTCTTTATGGGAATCAATCCTATCTCCTCAATGCAGTCGAGAGCATGCGCAATAATTGTGAGGGGCATATTTTCATATGCACATGTACTTCGAATTAAAATACAATTTAAAATACAAACCTTGATTTTCATACCAGCAACTGTATATTAACAGAGAAGAAGCAGATTTAGTTGTTATTCGCCTCATTCGTAACCATAGCACACTGCATTTCGGGTTTATACTTTTACCCAAAATGCATTTCATTACAGTGAAATCTTAAGTTTTTCTACTGTATACTTCAGGCGTCTGCATTATTTAATCACTGGGGCAGCAATTGTATATTCCGTTTTTGTACAAAAACACAGGTTTTAAAAAAGATTTTATTTTGATGGAACGATAGAGATTTATTTTGGGGGGGCACCATGAATTAAGCCGACCTTAATAACTTAAAGAAGCAGAGCCTTTGTGACTTGACTAAACTTGACTAAACACACAGTCTTACAGATTGCAGTCCTGTTAATACTTTGCCCTTTTTTACGATTTTTCAAAGTTTGCAAGCTAGACCGTATTGCATCGAAGAAGTGACAGTTTCAAAAAATGCACTCAATCTGCCTTTCAAAAACTACATATTAAGAATTGACATTGGAATACTAAGTAGCTTCTCTGAAATGAGTGATGAAGTCTTGGATGCAGACATTGAAAACATACTTCAATTTACTCCATACGGTGGAGAAGTTCATGTTATTGGCAGCCTTAGTGCTAGAGATATAAATGCTCAGAAGGAGAGTAGGCAGAGTGTATCGAGAATTGACCAGTGGATTGCTGACAAACTGCACGGATATAATTATTTAGCACTGGAGTTTAATTTATGCATGTTTTAAAGGTCACCTGAAATGCAAAATTCATATTTCTGTTTATTTGACATATAAAATGTATATATTGCGTAGACTATTCAAAGAAAATTTGAAAACAATCCATGATTATTTCAAGAGATATCAACGTGAATTTGTGTTTTGAATAGAAGTAAAAAATATTCCGTCGGTTTATCGTCGGAAAGTACTCGGCGTGACGCAATAGTTGCCATTGACATTTCGCGCAAAGCGGCAAATATGAATTCATAAATAAAGTTTGATTTTGATCGGCTATTTTAAGATGGTTTACTGTGTGGCATTTAACTGCAAAAACGGTTCTTCTAAGAACCAATCTAAGGCGGAAAAAGTTGGGTTTTTCAGTTTCCCCGCTAAAAATCCTTTACGCCAAGCATGGGTCGATAAGGTGAAAAGGAAAGATTGGAATCCTTCGAAAGGTCAAAGCTCTGTTCGGCACACTTTGAAGCCTGCTGTTTTGTCCAAAACCCGGACTCCTGAAATCTTTAGGATGGCGACCAACCAGGTTAAGGTTAAAGAAAGACGCATACCAACGATCTTCGACTATTCGAGGTCGAAAGTTGGTGATAAACGGAAACCGAGGCAACTAGAAACGCGTATGCAAAGCGCAGAAATTAGAGGTAAAGTCTTGTAGCCAAGCAGTTTTTAATGTAATTATAATGCATTACTTTAAAAAAACGCATATACAATTCAGATAATAAACGAAGCTCTTGTGAACTCCGTGGAAAACATTGAGCAGCCTGACGAGGACGAAAATACATCAAAAACATGTTCGTTTTTTTTGAGTGGACAACTGGACTCAAGAGATAAATGTAACCTAAGTGACAATGGAACACAAACTGACAAAGTGGTAAGGGAATGCAATGCAGTTTTGTTTTGTGCAAAAGCCTAAACTGTTGCTTGATGATGTAGAAACGCAGACATGTAAAGTGTCAATCTGATATAAAATCCCAGTCAAGCAAAAAGCAAACGCACTCAAACGAATGCACAAGTGACGTCTCAAGGTTAATTTTTTACATGAACTCAGCGGAAAATAAACATTTTGAAAAGTGTTTCCTTAATTATGTTATTCCGTTGCACAGGGACAGAAACCGAAATTATCACGACAAATGCAAGAAGCACTCAAACGGAAGGTAGTTTATCCGTAGATGAAACGAGAATGATGATGATTTCCTATCAGATGCTGAAATAAGCACTTCGGAAAACAACAGTACCGCAGATGAATATCTTAGTTTCAGCGAATTTGAATCGTCAGATGATGAAGCATCAATTGCCGAGTAAGTTAGTCTGCATCATTTTGAAATAAGATAACCCAAAACATAAGTTCATTTCAAGTATTTTACAGAGCAAGATAACATTCATATAAAAAATAAGTAATTTTTCCATGTTATAGGGAAAATGATGTTACTCAAAAAAAATATATAGTTTTTGACAGCTGTCTAAGAAAGTTGTTCTCTCAGTGTCGACACTGTGGTGGTCACTGCAAGATATCAACCAGAAGCATTGGAAGCATGGTGAACATCATCGCTAAATGCTCATGTGGCTTTCGTAATAATTGGAATAGTCAACCTACTCATAGTCAGATGCCATTGGGTAATCTCTTGCTATCTGCCAGTATTCTATTTAGTGGTAACAGCCCATCCAAAATCCTGCAATATTTTCAACAAGCAAATGTACAGTTCATTACTGAAAGGTGCTACAACTATATACAAAGTGGATATCTTATTCCAAGTGTTTTGAATGTTTGGAAAAAGCACCAGACTATTATGATGACTGAGCGTCAGGGAAAGCAGGTTGTTATTGGGGGTGATGGACGATGTGATTCACCAGGCTATTGTGCAAAATATTGCTCATACAGCTGCATGGATTTAGAAAGCAATAAAATTCTAGACACACAATTAGTTCAGGTAACTAGCTCAATTCATTAGTTTATAGTATTGTATTCAAAACAGTATTGTATGCAAACACATTTTAGGAAATGTGTAATATGTACTTATACAACATGAATACAATGTGTGTAACTAAATCATGTGATATACACCAACATACATGCATACTTGCAGACATACATATCCCAAACACTGTATGATTTTATTTACATTAATATATCTATTACAGTCAAATGAAGTTTAAATTCAGGGCAATGGAATTGGAAGGACTGAAAGATCTTTTAAACTTATTCAGTCACACAATCTTCAAGTGAGTCATCTTATCACAGACAGGCATTGCCAAGTTAAAAATACATGAAACCCAACAGCCAGGAGTGAAGCACTATTTTGATGTTTGGCATGTGGCAAAAGGTAAAATTAAGGCCAAAAGCTGCTCAAAGTACAGCAATGGTCTTAAAATAAAGTACTTCTGATTTGATCAAAGAGTATCTTTATAATCATAAATTACCAAGTGATTAAGAGGTTTTAGAATTTTTCTAATTGCATTTAATTTCATGATATTTTGATCAATTATTGCTATGTTTTGCATTACAATTTTTTACCAATGTACAGTGTCTATTTTTCTACAGGTATCAAAAAAGGTAATGGCAGCCGGTAAGAAGAGTGGATGTAGATTGCTACTTGATTGGGCACAGTCAATATCTAACCATGTCTACTGGTGTGCTGCAAGTAGTGGTGGTGATGAGAAACTACTTAAGGCTAAATGGCTATCATTGCTGAATCACATTTGCAACATTCATGATGGTCATAGTGAATTATTTCCAAAATGTGAGCATGGTACTCTTGAGCCTCGCTTATGGATAAAGAAAGGTACAAATTAATCCTAAATGCTCTGGTATAAGACATAATAGTTATTTACAGTAATTGATACTTTCTTTATCAACAAACTTCAATTGCCAGCCAATGCCACAATGTGGTGTTATTTGTCAACATATGACATAAATGGGCACCATAAAATTTTCTATCTTTTCCAAGGATCTAGAGCATTTACTGAATTGGCATCGATTGTTGAAAGCAGGTATCTCATGAAAGATATTGGGAAGCTCAGCCATGAGAAACAAACATCAGCTCTTGAAGGTTTTCATCGAGTTGTTATACTATATGCACCAAAGCATACACATTTCTTTACAAGGCAATGCAAGCTAGGTAAACAAACAATAAACAATGTTGTTTTCATACTGAAAATGATTGCAAGGTGGCACACTAAAAGTAAAATTAAATTTTTAGATTACTGATTGCTGCTCTCCATTTCAATGAAAATGGAAGTAAAGAACAAAGGCGTAAAAAAGAAAATGGGAATTAATGTGGAAAGTGTCTCACCCCAAATCAAGACAGTCATGTGGAGTCATCAAAGGTGTTAAAATTGATAGTACTTATGGTAAGGACAAGTTTTAGCACTCAAAAGCCAAATAATTGTTCTACTGATGGTACATTTCTTGCACTTCTCAGTTTAATTCTTCTCCCCCTGTTTTACAGACTATGTGAAACAACTAATGGAGGAAGTGATAAGGTGCAGACATGCTAATTCCAGTTTAAACCAAGCAATTGCAACAGAAAGACAACAAAAAATACCAGATCCACTGACTAGTAGAGTTGAAAAAGTTGATAAAGTAACAGCAGTGCAACAACATACTTCACGATTCAATCTTAAATAAACTGAAGTCTAACACTCACAGGTATTTATAAATGCTGTGCATATTCAAAGCCTTTATATATGCCAGAAGGTGAAATGCTTTCCTTATTTCTTTAACAGCACAGGATGGTATAGGAAGTCGATATTTCTTGCCAAGCTTTCCATGTATCCATGCTGTCCATTGCCTATAGGCAGTGTAACGCAAAGTTCTGGGAAACAAAACAAAATCAAACATAAGCAAATTATTGTCGATATATGAGGAGATATCAAAAAAGCTGAAACTGACTCGGTTTCTGGGCGTCTGGTATTGCCCGTGATCGTGAACGAATACAACCATAGCTGTTCTAACGACTGTTTCGTTGATGCAGACCATGAAACTCTTGTTCTTCTGTGATGCATAAATGGTCACCATGAATTTTAGGGTCTGTCTTCGGTTCCTCATGGCAACAAATGCTTCCCCGGCCGGTTGTCATCGCCACACAGTGTCCACACTCACACCTGCCATTAAAATAAAGAAAAAATTTTATGACGCGATCTGAAATGTTAATCATGAAAAAAAGCAACGCACCAGTTTGTTTTTCCAATCCTGTGAGTATATTCGTCAGATGAGCTGTCCGTTGACGACGACGAAGACAGATCTTCGTCAGTTTCAACATTATTGCTACTAGCTAGCGGTTCAAACATGTAAGGCTGGACCTCCGTAGCAATATATTCGATGTCAAATTGGACTTCTTCCTCCGTTGAAGACATCGAGATAAACACGCATTAATAGTAGCAGCAACAACAAAAAGAAAATTGGCGAAATTTAATTTTTACTGCTACTGGCTGCACTGAGCAAAAACATGCAATGGCAACTATTACGTCAAACTCGCCCCAGCTTGGGTAATTCAAATTCGCTCGCGCTATTTGAATTCGGCCTTCGGAAATCGTCAATGTCATGAATTCAGAAGACCATATCTCATAAAATATAAAACATTGGACTTTCAAATTTGGCGAATAGGCTAATCATTAGCTAAGCTTTCATATGAAGCAAAGTTATATCAAGCATTTCAGGTGACCTTTAACTGACGCGTAATTTGACGCGCAATATTCATTGGGATAAAAAGGATTTGAGTCTATAGTGCAGCTGACAGTTACCACATGCTAACCTGAGCGCAGCTTCATCATTGTATTACTTTATTATATCGGCTAACCTGTATTGAAATTAATGTAGATCGTGAGGACCCGGCAAGTGAGTTCATGTATTTTCGTTTGGTATACTGTTAAACTGCACATTTGTTATTTATACTATATCATTATTTACTAGATCGAGTAAAAATTATTTACTTATAATCTATACGATTCCGACTCACGCATCTATCGGACTGCTAACCTGAGAATCCACAACATTCGATTTCTGAAGAAAAATTAATCGCGTGGAGAACCTGAACCCTGAGTAACGAAGACGAGGCACTGAAGACTGCTAAACTCAAACGCCGAGCAGCCAAGTCTACATTGACAAGACTGGGAAAGGCCTTGAATCATCTGTGTATAAATAAAAGACCAGCAAACGAGGTAAGCGACTATCGTCAAAGTAAAACAAGCGTTCGACAACGTGGTAGAGAAACATGAGCTTTATGCAAATTTGATTATGAACGATGAAGCTTTTGAAGCAGAAGAGCATTGGTTAGATGAGTGCCAAAACGAATTTTTAAAACTTGATATTGAGGCAAAATATTATATCGAACAATTGGTTTCAGTGAAAACTTCAGAAACTAGCATCAGTCAAAACGAGCAAAATTCGTCTGGAATGATCGGAATGCAAAATGTTGACAGCGCAAGTAATATGAGCCCCACAGTTATTGAGGAAACCCGACCAGCGTAGGTGATGAAATGAGCAATGTGGCGGAAAGTTCCCACGCGGTAATTTCCGAGGAATCTGTCAACGCTCCCACCGAAATAAGCCAAACAAATGAGGAAAATTTTCCGAATCAAATTACGTTCCAATCTGAAGTAAAAAATGAATCTGAAAATACACAAAGTCCCTGCGGGTTTCAAATGGAAAAACCAAAGCTACCGAAATTTTCGGGCGACGTACGTGAATATGCAATATTTAGTGCGGATTTCAAGCATGCAATTGAATCGAGATATACGAAACGCGATTCAATAACACTACTGCGAACTTGTTTGAAAGAGAAACCACTTGAATTAATAAAAGGTATTGGTTCTGATTATGATGCAGCGTGGGAATACTTAGATTTCATTTACGGGGACCTTCGGTACGTATCAGACACCATAACGCAGGACATCGTTAAATTTAAAGCCCTAGAAACAGGAGAGACGCGCGTTTCTGTGATTTAGTTCATTTGGTTAGGCGGTGTTTCAACACGTTGAAAGAGTAGGGGTTCCAGTGACATGGATAGCCACATGCTATCCATAATTGAACAAAGATGTGTCAGATGATCGAAAAGTGTGGTCGAGACTTAGAGAGAAAAGCCCGCAACCCTTAAAGCGTTGATGAATTGGATGACAATTGAGATGAAGTCGCGCATGCGTGACAGCCCCAGTCAGGAGTGGTACATCTCTCACTCGACGCAAAGTCAATCATGTCAATGGTACAGTCACGGAAGAAAGTAAAACCGATTCAAGTGTTGGCTCTGCAAGAACTCAAATCATTGGCCGGACCAGTGTCAAAATTGGCAGCGATGTCTGTTGATGAGCGAATAAAAGTTGCGAAAGATAATCACGTGTGTTTCAGCTGTTTGAAGAGCGGGTCGGGTCATCGTCAAGCAAATTGCAACAGGCGAAAGCAATGCAAGTATGAAAATGGAGTCCAGTGCATCCAGTCACCATCCGCTGCTGCACAAGTCAGGTGCAACCGTTGCATCAGTAACTGGTCTAAACGACTCAATCCTACCAGTGATTTCTGCTAACATTTGCGGATCAAATGGTCTCTACAAGCGGCAACGTTCTTCTGGATTCTGGAGCTCAGATAAGTCTAATCCGCAGAAACGGCGGAGAGTCTCGGTCTGAAAGGGAAAGACATCTCCGTTAACATCATAAAATAGGTGGAGAGGAAGAGTCAATCTGCACAAAGAGCTACAAAGTTCAAGTAAGCAGAATCGGAGAATCAAAGAAGTACACAATCACTGCAGTTGGAATACCATATATCAGCGAGGATGTCAAAGGAATCAATACCAGGAATGCAATCGAAAAACTCGGACTACCAAAGGACAAGGTGAAGCGTGGAAAGGGCCAAGTCGACTTACTTGTTGGAATCGATCATGCATACATGCACGGGTAAAACAAAGCAAGTCGAACATGTGGTCGCGAGAGAATCGCCACTCGGCTGGGTTCTGTTCGGATCATCAACGGGACAGTCAAACAATGCAACAACAACTGTATTACACGTGAGGTACCCAGAAGCAGTTGATTTATCAGAATTTTGGACAACCGAAGCCATGGGAGTAACAGTAAAGCCGTGCACCTGTGAAGCTGAAAAATTGAGCCAATCCGAAAGAGAAGAAAAGCAAGTGATTGAACAGTCTGCAAAAAAGGTTGGAAAGCAGTGGATGATTCCATATCCATGGAAGAAAACCCCAAGACTTACCAGATAACAGAATCCAGGCATTGAAACGACTAGAGTCAACTGAGCGTCGATTATTGAAAATTCCTACGCAAGCAGCAGCGTACAACAACAAGATGACAGAAATGGAAAACATGGGGTTTCTCGAAAGTTATCCGAGAAGGAAGTTAAAGAACACAAAGAACCAGTCCATTACATCTCCCACCATCAGTTCTAAGACCTGACAGTACAAGCACCCGGTTCGTATCTTTCAACTCGTCCGCTACGTTCCGAGGACATAAGCTGAACGATTATTGGCAAAGGGGCCTGATCTTCTGAACTCTCTATTCGGAGTTATTCTCCGTTTTAGGAAAATAAAGTTGCCCTCACTGCGGACATCTCAAAGATGTACCACCGAATCCTTATCCCTGTCGAAGACCAGCAGGTACACCGATTCCTATGGAGGAATTTAGAGATTGATAGACCTCCGGACACTTTCGTTATGAACGTACTTACGTTCGGTGACAAACCTGCACCTGCGATGGCCCAAGTTGCCTTGCGGAAAACTGCAGATGAAGGAGCATCAGAGAACCGAGAGCAGCAAAAGTTATAAAGGACAATTCTTACATGGACGATATTCTGGATTCAGTTGCTACAAATGAAGAAGCAATCGGGTTGACTAAAGCAATCGACAGCATCCTTGATAATGGCGGGTTTCATGTGAAGGATGGCAATCAAACGGAGAGTTGAACAGGAAAGACGAGCAAGAAGATGGTAATGAGTTGATGTTCCTCATGGAAAACAAGAGTCAAAGTGCTCGGCCTGGCCTGGAACAAGAAGAGGATGTGCTTAAGTATAAAGTAAAAGTAGAAATATGCACAACAGCCAAAGTTCACAAAGAGGAAGATCCTAAGCCAAGTCGCTAGAATATATGACCCAATAGGCTTTGCAGCACCTACCTTATAAGGGCAAAGATTGGTTTGCAGGAACTGTGGCAGCAAGGACTCGACTGGGACCATGAACTATCGCAAAGTGATCAAACAAAATGGTTGACGTACTTTAAAGAGATGGATCAGTTAAACGAAATATCGGTGGAAAGATGTCTATGTCCCGTTGTAATGATTGAGCCACCGATCTTATGTGCCTTTGCCGACGCATCGCGAAGCATTTGGAACATGTGCATATTTGAAGTATAGGACCTAATGGAGTGGTGAACGTACGGTTTGTTGCAGCAAAGTCACGAGTCGCCCCATTGAAAGAGCTAACAATACCCAGATTAGAACTACAAGCAGCCGTGTTAGCCAGCCGTTTATGCAAGACCATCCAAAATGAACTCCGTATACCACTAAAAGAGAGTGTCTTGTTTACCGACAGCGCAATTGTTCTTGCGTGGATCCGCAGCCAGGGAAGACGACTCAAACCATTTGTTTCAAGTCGAGTAGGGGAAATACAAAGCAACGTCCAACCTGCTCAATGGAGACACATCCCAACGGATCAGAACGTGGCAGATGATGTATCCCGTGGTCTCCGTGTTGTTGAGCTGTCGGATA